AAAGTTTAACCAAAAGATTAAAAAAATTATGGAATTTTAATCCAAGCATAGATCCAACGGCTAAGTATTTTGTTATAAAAATTGGTCGAATTCAATCCAAAAATACACCACCACCTATATCTTGAAGAGTTAATCCTCGACTTCCAGTTGGATTGATATTTCTAATTTGACATAAATTCCACAAAAGCCCCATCATACACCCGGATGCTTATATATTAGCTTAACACAATAAATTACGTATGGTATAATGATTTCCGTCTGACAGAATCGTTGTTTCGAATCTTAGTTTTGGTATCGAAGCATACACAGTAGGTCAGGTGCTCAATTAGTCTAATCTTTATACTCTGAACAGGTAATTACATTAAGTTTGCCACGAAGTTTCTAACCTTCATAGGGAAACGTCGGAACCCCTATAAAAAATATATATAAATGCTGCCATGTCCGTCTGTCCATCTGTATATACGCGAACTAGTCTATCAGTTTTTGAGATATCGCTCTGAAATTTGCACACAAGAGGCGTGTTGGCTTTATATTGCATGAGCATTTGTCTTTATATTGCATGAGCAGATCTGTTCCAAGTGACTATTATATTGCTTTATTGGAACGTTTGAAGTCCGAAATTGTAAAAAAAGCAACTACATATGACAAAAAAAAATGATTCATCACAATACTTCTCAGCAATATTTCTCACTTTTGGTACCAAATTATATAATATTATATACCATAGGTTGGCAATCATTGTAATAATCATTAGATCAAAAATATATATTCGAACAGAGATCACATCGCCTTAATAGCGTCCAGCAGGATCGTGGAATTATTCAAAGTGCTGGTACTTTGCAAATCTGTTTGAATGAGGGAAGGACACTATAGATTTAAGGTCGAAGTGCAAAACGACAATCTTTTACTATTGCATTTTAGCAGGAAGAGTAGTGTACGGATAAGGAATTTTAGAAAAAATTTCATGCTTAATAGATTGAACTTGGTCCTAACTCGGTCTACACCATACACATAAAATTTTGTAATCAATTTAAAATGTGTGTCTAAATCAACTAAACAAACTAATTAAATATAATAAAACATATTTAGATGCAAAAATATTTAATAGCAAAATTCCGTTATTCAGTATTCTAATTTATTCTCAGTGAAAACTTTGTTATAGACGATTCTGAACATTGTCACTCGGAATGCTTATATGTAGGTATACATCGACGCGAAATGTCCAGCCATTTTCTATATTCCGACAGAATTTATTAATTTGCCGCCGTTAACAATATGCGGCGGCTAACTTTTAACAGCTGTCATAAGTCCACATTTGACATTTCTGTAATTGCCGATTTTCTGTGGCACATATTGCAGCGTATTTTTTCGAGTTCTATGAAATTTGTTATTTCAGTAATAGTTTTTTTAATATAAGTTGTAAGAAACAAACAATTAATTGGCCAAAAGCATTTTGCAAACAAGCAAAATGATGTACGAAGATGATGGTAAGAATTTAAGCCTTAGTAATAGCATAATAGTTCTACGCCACCTGGGTTCTCCGATCGCCATTATGAAAACGAGTTTCACTTATTTTTCTTAAATTGCAGAAATGTACGAAGAAGAGAATGCGGAGGAAATCTCCCACGAATTGTGGCAGGAAGCTTGCTGGATTGTAATCAACGCCTATTTCGATGAAAAGGGTTTAGTACGACAGCAATTGGACAGTTTTGACGAATTTATACAAATGTCTGTGCAACGCATTGTAGAAGACTCGCCGGCAATTGATTTGCAAGCAGAAGCCCAACACACATCTGGTGAAATTGAAACACCCGTAAGTCTACAATCAACTTTCTTTAATAAGCAAAACCAATTAGTTTTAAATGTATACTTTTTACAAATAGCCTCGCTTTTTACTAAAGTTTGAGCAAATTTATCTTTCCAAACCAACACATTGGGAAAAAGATGGTTCTCCAAGTCCAATGATGCCAAACGAAGCACGTTTACGCAATCTTACATATTCCGCTCCACTCTATGTGGACATAACAAAAACAAAAATTATAGAAGGTGCCGATCCAGTAGAAACTCAGCACCAGAAGACCTTTATTGGAAAGATTCCTATTATGTTGCGTTCCACCTACTGTCTCCTTTCACAGCTGACAGATCGTGATTTAACAGAATTAAATGAATGCCCTCTAGATCCGGGCGGTTATTTCATTATTAACGGATCAGAAAAAGTACTCATCGCCCAGGAAAAAATGGCAACAAATACTGTATACGTTTTCAGCATGAAAGATGGTAAATACGCTTTCAAATCGGAAATCCGTTCATGTCTCGAACACAGCTCCAGACCGACTTCTACCTTATGGGTAAATATGATGGCTCGTGGTTCACAGAATATCAAAAAATCTGCCATTGGCCAGCGCATAATCGCGATCTTACCATACATTAAACAAGAAATTCCTATAATGATAGTTTTCCGAGCTTTGGGTTTTGTAGCCGATCGCGATATTTTGGAGCACATCATCTATGATTTTGATGATCCCGAAATGATGGAAATGGTAAAACCATCACTTGATGAAGCGTTCGTCGTGCAAGAGCAAAATGTAGCCTTAAATTTTATTGGTGCTCGTGGCGCACGACCGGGTGTAACAAAAGACAAACGTATAAAATACGCAAAAGAAATTTTACAAAAGGAAATGTTGCCCCATGTAGGCGTATCCGATTTTTGTGAAACAAAGAAAGCATATTTTTTGGGTTACATGGTACATCGTTTACTGCTTGCTTCGCTCGGTCGTCGTGAGTTAGACGATCGTGATCACTACGGTAAGATAAAGATATACAATTGCAAAAATAACGCAATATACTAAGTGCAACACATTTTTATTGTATAGGTAACAAACGTTTAGATCTTGCCGGACCCCTATTGGCCTTCCTTTTCCGTGGGTTATTCAAGAATCTTATGAAAGAAGTCCGTATGTACACACAAAAGTTCATCGATCGTGGAAAGGATTTCAACTTAGAATTAGCCATCAAAACGAATATAATAACAGACGGTCTGCGTTACTCTTTGGCCACTGGTAATTGGGGTGATCAAAAGAAGGCACATCAGGCCCGCGCTGGCGTGTCTCAGGTGTTGAATCGTTTAACTTTTGCATCTACATTGTCACATTTACGGCGTGTCAACTCACCTATCGGACGCGATGGTAAATTGGCCAAACCACGTCAATTGCACAATACACTCTGGGGCATGTTGTGCCCGGCCGAGACACCAGAGGGGGCGGCTGTCGGTCTGGTAAAGAATTTAGCACTTATGGCATACATTTCTGTTGGTTCCCAGCCTTCGCCTATTTTGGAATTCTTGGAAGAATGGTCCATGGAAAATCTTGAAGAAATCGCCCCCTCTGCCATCGCAGATGCAACAAAAATTTTCGTTAATGGCTGCTGGGTCGGCATACATCGTGATCCAGAGCAGTTGATGGCTACACTGCGTAAATTGCGTCGTCAGATGGATATCATTGTCTCGGAAGTATCAATGATCCGTGATATTCGCGATCGTGAAATAAGAATATACACAGATGCCGGTCGTATTTGTCGTCCGCTATTGATTGTTGAGAATGGCTCACTGTTGTTGAAAAAAACTCATGTGGACATGTTAAAGGAACGTGATTATAATAACTATAGTTGGCAAGTTCTGGTCGCATCGGGTGTAGTGGAATACATTGACACTTTGGAGGAGGAGACTGTGATGATTGCGATGTCGCCATATGATTTGAAACAAGACAAGGACTATGCATATTGTACGACCTACACACACTGCGAAATCCATCCGGCGATGATTTTAGGGGTATGTGCCTCCATTATTCCATTCCCCGATCACAATCAGAGTCCGCGTAACACATATCAAAGCGCTATGGGTACTATATCTGGGAAATATCTTTTAAGCCGTGGTTAAACATAACTAAATTAATTTTTGTAGGTAAACAAGCTATGGGTGTCTACATTACCAATTTCCACGTACGAATGGACACACTGGCACACGTACTCTATTATCCAATGAAACCGTTGGTCACTACACGATCCATGGAGTATCTGCGCTTCAGAGAGCTACCAGCTGGCATAAATTCAATTGTTGCCATTTTATGTTACACCGGATACAACCAGGAAGATTCTGTCATTTTGAATGCTTCGGCAGTGGAGCGTGGCTTTTTCCGTTCAGTTTTCTACCGCTCATATAAAGATTCTGAGAACAAGCGTATTGGCGACCAAGAAGAGAACTTCGAGAAGCCCAATCGTCAGACTTGTCAGGGCATGCGGAATGCTCACTACGACAAATTGGATGATGACGGTATTATTGCGCCTGGTATTCGTGTATCAGGTGATGATGTGGTTATTGGGAAAACAATTACTCTGCCTGAAAATGACGATGAGGTATAATAGTATTGTATATGCATTGCGTTTTACCAAAAAGTTTTATTATTTTCTCTTTTTAGCTCGATAGTACCACAAAGCGTTTCAGTAAGCGAGATGCTTCGACTTTTCTACGTAACTCCGAAACGGGTATTGTTGATCAAGTCATGTTAACACTGAATAGCGAGGGTTATAAATTCTGTAAAATTCGTGTGCGCTCAGTGCGTATACCGCAAATTGGCGATAAGTTTGCCTCACGTCACGGGCAGAAGGGTACTTGTGGCATCCAGTATCGACAAGAAGACATGGCGTTTACATGTGAAGGGCTTGCTCCAGACATTATTATCAATCCTCACGCCATTCCATCTCGTATGACAATTGGCCATTTAATCGAGTGTTTGCAAGGTACAACTTATGCGGTGTTTCTTTAAATTCGCTTTTACAATTACATTTTGTTGTAGGAAAGTTGGGCTCAAACAAAGGTGAAATTGGTGATGCTACGCCATTCAACGATGCTGTGAACGTACAAAAAATATCCACGTTCCTACAGGAGTATGGCTATCATTTGCGTGGTAACGAGGTGATGTACAACGGTCATACGGGTCGCAAAATCAATGCACAAGTATTCTTGGGACCTACCTATTACCAACGTCTCAAGCACATGGTGGATGACAAAATTCACTCTCGCGCACGTGGTCCCGTACAGATTTTGGTGCGTCAACCCATGGAGGGTAGGGCACGCGATGGAGGTCTACGTTTCGGTGAGATGGAGCGAGATTGTCAGATATCTCATGGAGCTGCACAATTTCTACGCGAACGTCTCTTTGAGGTTTCCGATCCATATCGTATACATGTGTGTAATTTCTGTGGTCTTATTGCCATAGCTAATTTGCGTAATAATACTTTTGAGTGCAAGGGTTGCAAAAATAAAACCCAAATATCACAAGTTCGTTTGCCGTATGCCGCGAAGTTGCTGTTCCAGGAGCTAATGTCGATGAACATTGCTCCGCGACTGATGGTTGTGCAGTAGACATAAGATTGAACTTAACAGCGCTGACATTTTATATTTCTATTCGAAAACATTGTAGTACTATAATTTACAAATAAAGTAAAAGTCCAATACTTCAAACAATGTAAAGTTAATTCGTGTAAAACAAGGCCAATGTTTATGATATTCTTTTGCATGCATTATTATAATGTATGATATTTGAAGAATATTCTGTTAAATTTTCATGGAGAAATATTAAAAAATACGGCAATGGCAACAATTACTTAAGAGCGTCTAAATTCAATTATTGACAATTTTAAATTCTTCAACGTTTGAATCGAAATAGTGTTTAAAACGATCGGTACAGTAGTTTTAAATTTGTGAGAATAACTGCCTACCCTACGTGAGTTGTGGGAAAACCGCTTTAAAGTTTTAAAATCTGATGTAAAACTTTAATAATAAAAGTTATAAAAACAATAATAACTTCGTCAATTTTACTCCAATCGATTTAAAATAGACAACGTTCTCGAAATATTTTGCATTCATTTAAACAATAAATGAATAAACAAAATTTCAAAATCCAACTTTCATTTTTAGGTCATGCCGGAAGACAAAAATATTTCTCAAAGAATTACTTCGATGAATTTTTACACCTATATAACAATAAAAGCAGAATTTTGAACGGAATGTGAATATTCAAAGTTTGTTGCTCATTAGCCGAAAATTCTTTGTTGGTGTTGCCCGTTGCGTTCACACAAACGACCCTCTAATCTTTTATTCCCAAATTATGGTTTTCATTAACTTATTTTTATCAATATTCACCCTTTTCTAAAATATTTTTTATATTTTGAATAATTGTATATATATTTGCATATGACATACAAAATCGAGATGATAAAATTCAAATTTACGAACATATTGCAAATATTAACAAAGAAATATTGATTTCGTAACACAGGAACACAAAGTGTGCCACCCGAGCACAAGCAACTTGGTACCCTTCGCCTTTTCTCGACACCCCCTCGCCCAACAAAGTACGAGTTTGGGCAATAAAAGTTTTCTCGTGTAAGCGCGCACTAGATTGAATTCAATATCACTTAACATACCCTATGTGGCATGATTTGAACATACTATTTGGCATTTATCACAAAAGAAAACAGTCGTCAGCTGCAACAAATAGATTGCATTCTCCATTTCTTGCAAACTTTCTTGTCTTTCATAATTAAAGCGGCTGAAAAGAGAAAATGGACCTTCGAATAATCTTTTTTTTCATCTTACAATTGATTGGCTTCAACATTTTGTTTGGTAAGTTTTAAATGCATGTCCATAATTGTATCTATTGCGTGAAATTTTAGTTGCTGTAAATTCTTGCTCATTCAAATGGTCATTATAAAGCCTACAATTTTAGTCAACTGCTTGTTAAAACAATAGTGATATAATTTATAGGTTTTCCACTTATTAGAATTTTATAAGTAGGCGTAAAAATTGTCAACAATGAGTCACTTTACATTGCACTTATTTTCTTGTCTGTATAATTACATGTAATAACTAGTGGCAGGCCAAAGTCAACGCATAAAAGATGGAATGTACTCATCTATAAGTGGAGCCAGCTGCTTCCGGCGCCTCAATGGAACCCATCAAACGGGCTGCTCATGTGAGTTTAAATTTTTTTATAAATGCATCCGTGACAGTCAGTCGGTAAAATTATTCTTTATCTCTATTCTGTAACAGCGAGCCAATTTGGTTCTGTAGGAGCACTACATCTTATACAAGTTGTGGAGGATTTTGAATTTTTACTACGAAACCCACCTGCGCCTCCATATGCGCCCATGATACCACCGCATCTCTTCACTCGGCTAAATATGCTGCGTTTAAAAAATGAAGCACAACACAATATAACTGTAGTATTGCTTATCAATGACAACGAAAAAATGAAACAGTTTTCGCATGAACTTACTTGCCCGAATCAATATAGTGGTTTATTGCTGCCAAACAGCAAGGAAACAGCAACTTGCGATACACAAAATGCTGAGAATGCCTGGAATCCTTGGGGAACTGGACTGTTACATGAAGATTTTCCATTTCCCATTTATTATATAGCAGACGAAGAAGAAGTTTACAAGCTGAAGTTGTGCTTTCAAAAGTTTAATAATTTTGATTACAGTGGGCATGCCACACGTAGTCTTTGCGCTGTTGAAGTAAGTACTTTTATGTCGGCGGCGGTCAATTCTGAAGTTTGCATTCGTCGTTCGAACTTCATTAACAACCTAGCTCGAACTAGATACTGTGATCCCTTGGAAGGCAACAATGTTTACGCCACAATGTACCCTCGTAATTTTTCAAGTTCCATAGCAGAAGACACCTCACAAATTCGTACAGACCCGAACGAGAAATTTATTCTAATATCTTGTAGAATGGATACCGCCTCCATGTTTGATGGGTTAGGTAAGTAACATATATATCACCGTATATATATATTAAGCGGATACCCTATAAATTGTATATATATATATATATTTAAATGATCAGCATGATGAGCTGAGTCGATTTAACCATGTTCGTCTGTATACATATACACGAACTAGTCCCTCAGTTTTTGAGATATCGATCTGAAATTTCGCACATGTACATAATTATCTCTCCAAGGAGCTGTTCATTTGTCGGGATCGCAGATATCGGACCGCAATAGTAAATAGCTGTCATACAAACTAATCGATCAAAACTCTGTACTATGGAAAACTTTTTCATTTGAGTAGATATCTTTACTCATTTTGGCAAAGATCATTGTCTATTAGCTACCATACCGATCAAAATCATGTTCTTGTATGGAATCTTTTACATTTTTGAAGGGTATTATAACTTGTGTACCATCGAAGTTAACGGTTTTTCTTCTTTTATTAATATTTTTCAATTACCTGTTTTCTAGGTTTGGGCGCTATGGATTCACTGACGAGCTATGTGACATTGATGAGCGTTGCTAGCACACTTAAGCAATACCTTCCTAACAATTACTCGGAATTAACTAGAAAACTGAACATACTATTTCTTATTTTCAACGGCGAATCGTATGATTATATCGGATCACAACGTTTTGTCTACGATTTAGAAAACTTAGATTTCCCCTTACCATCAACACTAACAGCTCCAATTTCTTTTGAAAACATTGAGTTAATGATCGATATAGGTGTATTGGATGAAGTCTCAGCAATAAATGTACACACCTTAAATACATCCGAAAAGGCTGCATCATTCGCAGCTGCTTTAAATGCGCAAAGTCAAAATTTTGATATTAAGTTTGAACTAAAAGTGGGTACAAATATACCACCCACGTCAGCGCAATCCTTCCTACGCAAAAATCAGACATTCCCTGCGTTGATATTAAATTCAAGGCCGCAGAACAGATACTATCACTCAATATATGACAACGCGGCAAATCTTAATTTCACATATGGTAACCACACCGAACAATATTACACCAAACTTATGTCTACTGAGGAGGCACTGCAATATTTCTCAGCAGATTCAGTGCAAATCAAAATACGTAATGTGTCAACGAGTGTAGCCTTGGCGTTGACACAATTACTTCTTAGCAAAGGACCTCTCGAGAAAGGTTACGCAAGTCCTGTATTAGTAGATGAGCTACTGCATTGCTTTCTACAGTCAGCTGATTGTAGACTGTTTAAAGATGCTTCACCAGTTAATAGCCTGCCAGGACTACCGTTTCCACCATCACGGTATGTGCGAGTTCAAACGTATTCTAAATTGCAACAATTAAACATAAAATATTTATAGCTACATCAGCGTTGCTGGTAGTCCACAGGATTCATCTGGTTGGACGTATCGCGTTTTAGGATTATTATTGTCAACTGAAGTAGCTGATACCGTGGAAGAGAAGTGTGGACCTTTGCCATTGCAGTGGATTGCTGGCCAAAAAGGAGCCGGCGAATGTCGCCTGACAACGCAGAACTATAGTCACGCTCTAAGTCCGGCGTTTTTAATAGATGGTACGTTCACCAAATCAATTGAGAACTTGCTTAAATTTATTCTCTTTATTTTATCATTTTTCTCACTAGATTACAATTGGAAATCAGGTCAATACTCAACGTGGACTGAATCCACCTGGGCCGGTCTCAGAGCGCGCATGTTCCTACGGCCATCCAGAGTACACGAAATCGTCACACTCTCCATTGGCATTGTTGTGCTGATTATTTCATTTTGTTTAGTCTACATTATTAGCAGCCGCTCAGAAATACTTTTCGAAGGCGCAACGACAAGTTCGGATGCGTAAGTACTTCTACATAGCATCTTGGGATTACTGGCTTATTTGGCATGTTTACATTTCACAACTCATCAGATAATAACGAAGTTTGTATCCTGAATTTGTATATATAGTAGCTCCGATTTGTCTACTCGTTGCTTGACTTCAGACTCATCTCACTTGAATTTGGATGTGAATAAATTATACATTCCCCTATTATATTATACATTACTCTATTCCGTTATGTCTGACGTATCCATGTATCATAACATTGTATGAGTATTTATGTTGCATTGTTTGCATGCATGTTTGAAGGGATTTCGAAAGTGTAAACATGTACCAAAATCAGGGTTGTAAATAATCCATTAAGAAATAATCGTATTAAAATTTTATTTTTTTCTTATTTTGTATTCCCGAAAATCTTAATTAAAAATAATTTTTAATCCCAAATATGGGATTAAAAAAGAAATTTAATCCGAAATACCGGATCGAGAAAATAATCCCAAGCATATAATAAGGAATTTAAAAAAAATTAAAAGTTTTAATCCCAAGCTTTAAAATACAAAAAAAATCAAACTTTTAATGCCAAAATCGGAATTAAAAAATTTATTTTTATTCCAAGATATTGCGATTAAAAATGATTCTAATTAAGATATTGCGATTAAAAAATTCGCAACCCTGACCACAATAGGCATGCTTACTAAACAATCATCATCTCAGCTGGAATGTATTTATTTGTATGAAATGCATTATTTACCACAATTTTATTGTTAACAGATTTGTAATATTTGTTGCCTTTTTCTAGGTTAACGACTCCGACTGCTTGTTAATAACCAAAGCATACGCAAAAGCAATACGTTGTAAACATAAATGACTAGACCGTCTCTCTAATTGAAATTATTATATATATATGTTCCTTAATTGGAAGAGTCAAATCACACACATTCGATAAAACAGCAAATTAATGTACCGTCTCATAATCATCAAGTACACTACCATCGCCAATCCTCTCCACTATTGTCCCGTCTATTATGATTAACCGCTAGAACATTTCATCATCAGCATACACTAGAGCACTCGTTAATTGGTAACTAAATATGTACAACTCGACACAAGCTGATGCATACTGAAACGCACACTACTGTTGCCGTACATACTACACTGAAAGACTGCTGCCAAGTTGTTACATTTTTACCTAAATATAAACCATGATATCATAAAATATAGTTAAATTGACGTAAAGATTTAAAATCATAAATTTAAATGCTAAACTATGCTGTTTTTAGACATATGTATGTATGTACGTGAAATCAGGAGTTTAAGGCATATTTTAGTAAAAACAAAGGATTAATGCGTTGTATAAATGTTTAATCAAAATATTTTAATGTAAATTAATTTTCTTACCTTCTCACATATTTCAACGCATTTTTTTTTTATCTGCTATGTGCACTTGGTGTATGTCCCATTAGCGTAGAATTATATCTTTTGTTTTGTCAACTAATTTTTATTAACACAATCACAAACTTCAATGTTTATATATACGGTAATATGATATTCTAATTCATAACTAATTAAATTTGTATTACCAAATATGTTTCCAGATTTGCGTATACTGCATTATAGCATAATGTCCGCCCAAGCTAATAGTTTCTTACAAATTCTAAAAGCCATTGTTTGAGTTTTCGTTTCAAGTACTTTAAGTATACCCTATTTCGATAACTGTAAATCATATTTATCGCGATTTCCATTTTGCCCAACGTATATATTTGATATTATATGTATAATTAATAAATAAACTTATGCTTCTCTATTTATTAAGACAAATTATATAATTTATATATATATATATATAACTTTAGTGCAGAGAAAATTAAATAAAACAATAATGCACGTATGTGCAAATGCATAAGAAAAGGTCTCAAAAGGCCACTCTTTACATACCTTATTGTATTATTCATAATATAAAACAAAATAAAAAACAACAAGAATGTAACAATTTTTACAGTTCGAAAATGTGTTTTATCTCGAAAATGCATAAATGCATGCATACAATGTGTTTCTAGTATGAACAATAATATTATATACTGCTAATTTATGAGAATACGAATAAAGCCAAAATAATTTTTATAAACTGAATGGTACACCCTTTATATCTTTCAATGATGGTATAGGAGGGATAGGCATTTTTTAAAAGGCTTTGTATATTTAATTTAGCATTATCTGTCATTTTTATCGTTTAACTTATTTATGCGAAAGAAAATGCATATACTTAAAAAATCTTTAAGGGTGATTTTATAAAATAAAAAAAAAAACACTTCCGCAGTCCATACTCCTAGATTATCCTGTATCGTTCTCTAAAGCTACCAATACTTGAGTACGGTTCTGCACTCTGGTCACCATAAATTGAAAACTAAACTATTTTCTTTGTTTTTATGCAAAATAACTGCTTTCAAATAGTTTATGTACCCGTTTTCTATTTTCTCTTAATATATTTCTGAAATAAACTACACTAATATAGTTTTTTGATGTGTTGAAACAGTAATACCATAAATAGGGCCGTAAAGAGAAAATCGGGGCCAGGTGATGATTGTAGTAAATTGCTGGAGAAAAAATGTACGACTCCGGGCCCGGGAAGAATTGGCCCCGATCTCTCATTCACTGTCTGAAAAAAAGTATTAAGTTCGATAATATTACAACCGAAATTTATTTTAACGGATTGAGCTGATATCGGTAATATCGAATGGGCTTAAAAGTTATCTGGCGAGGTATACTGATTCAAGTAAACAGAATCACAGAAACAAAAGTTTAGTTTGGGGTATACTTTCAGTTTATCTCATCTTAAATTTATTTATATTAACTATACATATATATGTAACTATACATATATATGTTCCAATTTACTTTAATTCTATCTCAATAAGCGTTACAAATTGCAATTGCTCAAAGTCATTAAGTCAGTTCTTATGTTTCAAAATGGAGTAACCCAAAATAATATAGAATTTAGCAGACAAGCAGGCCTTTGGCTTTGAGATTAACAATCGATTCAGCAATAACCTTAGCAGAGGACTTTAAATAGCCACCACTGAGCAACATTACGATTGGAATGCGTTCTTCACGACAAGTAGCAAAAACAAATTGATCCCGTTCCATAACACCCTGTGAACCATACGATGATATAAACAACAGAATTGAAGAGTTATAACAATATTACTAACACAGACATACATACCTCTGGTGTTATGGATAAAAGGCCCAGAGGATCTCCCAAAAGTATGTCAGTACCAGCATTATATACCAATAAGTCTGGACGGAACTCACTCAAAGCGTATTTTAAGGACCTATGTAATATAATTTTGAATATTTTATTTGAGTGTTTAAAAATAGTTTAAAATTAATTTAAAACATAATTAATAGTAGTAATTAAAATATGTTGAACCAAACCTGAAAGAAAAAGAACTGTGACACGATACTTTATTGAAATCTTGTGCAAACTGTTTACCTTTTCAATTTTTTCATATAAGTTTCATCCGCTGTGCGAGGTTTCAGCTCCACCGCACAACTTATAGCCAATTTGGCTTCATGATCACGCGGATATATTGAGGCGTTGTACATATCCAAAATGAATACTTTTTCATTTTCGTAAAAATCGCGTTCGTGGCCATTTCCCTGATGTGCATCTAAATCCACAATCATTGCTGTCTCGACATTTGGCTCTTCCTCCAATGTTTTGGTGATAAGCAAAGTAATATCTGCATAGGGGCAGAAGCCACCACCTTTGTAGGCACAACAATGGTGAAATCCTCCGCCCAAATTAATAGCCCATCCATAACGTATTGCCAGACTACCGGCCAATATAGATCCAGCAGTTTGAAAGCGCATGGGTCGCAAGTAACCACGCTGTACAAACTTGTTAGGTACAAAAAGTAGCAAAGGAATTTCCGATATTTTGGCTGCATTCACACTCCACTTTTTGAAGTGATACGAAACAATTTAACACAATTTTTTTTTTATAGAAATATTGTACCTTAAGGCTGCGTAAATATTTTCGTGTATGGACCTTTTGAAGCTCAGCCTTTGTTATTTCACTCGGCTCATAAAATCGGCCAGGACGAAATACTTCATTTTGAAGTAAAAACTGCAATTGAGGAAATTTTATTGATTTCTATTAAAAAAATTAAATATGCATTTACTTTTAATACGTGTGCTCCTTTAGCCGCATCGAAAGGATGTAATTTTTCCATACCGCAAAATCTCACCCCATAACTTTTTGAGTACACAATTGGTGTTTTAAGAGAATTGTCTTCCTGTTCCTCATTTGATTTCCGTTTTGCAACAGCGTGCTCTGATCGTTCGTCATCCTGCTCGCGCATTACCCAAACCACCTCCTTTTGTTGCTCATGATGCACTTTCTCTGTAAATCGTTTCATTCTATATTCTACGCATGATTTTATGCAAATAATGCAGCAATTGAATTACAAATCTATAAACATCTGATTTATTCAATGTCGTTGCATTATCGTGAATTGCTAATCCATGTATTTGACGGTTAAGTGACGGAAGTTAAGAAAAAGACAAACGTCAAACATAAAACTTGCGCGTCTATAGCCACTAAACACACCCCACATAACCGTACAGCAGGTTCAAAAAGAAATATCCGCTTCGTTAATTTTTTATTTTACGAAAAATTGGAAATGCCTGATTTTATTTGTGAAAAACGTGGATAAAGAATCATTTAATTACAAAAAAGATATTGAGCTTAGATTTTGAATTTATATGAACACAATTTGAAAATCAAAAAAAGTCATGAATGTTGGCTGTGTTGCGCGACAGGTGAAGGCCATACAATTCGGTGTACTCTCCCCGGATGAAGTCAAACGATTATCGGTAACAGAAGGTGGTATCACACGTGCAGTTATCGTGGAAGATGGTAAACCGGCTTTAGGTGGTTTAATGGATCCTCGCCAAGGAGTTTTGGATCGAGAGTCACGTTGCCTTACATGTGCTGGTAATATCGTCGACTGTCCCGGCCATTTTGGTCACATTGAATTAAGCTTACCAGTATTTCACATTGGGTTCCTTTTAAAAACAATTAAAATATTGCGTTGTGTGTGTTTTTCTTGTTCCAAACTATTGGTGTCACCAACAAATGCAAAGGTATGTATACAACGAAACATTCCAATCTCTTGGCGCACTTGAACAAAAGCATGCTATTCATTAGGTGAAGGAAATGCTTAATCGCACCAAAGCACGTCCACGCATGCGCTTAAGCCTCATGCGTGAATTGTGCAAATCTAAAACAATATGCGAAGGTGGCGAAAATATTGACATTTCTATCACACGCAACAACGAACGAAATATCTCGGATCATGGGGGCTGCGGGCATCATCAGCCGCGCATTACACGGCACAAATTGGAGTTGTTTGCCACTTGGCAACGTTTAACTGAATATCGCCAAGAACGACAAATAATATTGACAGCGGAGCGAGTATTAGAAATTTTTCGAAATATCTCCGACGAAGATTGCATTTATTTAGGTATGGATCCGAAACATTGCCGACCTGATTGGTTGCTCATCTCAGTACTACCAGTACCACCACTTTCTGTGCGACCATCCGTTCTGATGTATGGCAGCTCACGTTCGCACGACGACCTTACACACAAATTAGCAGATATTATTAAAGCGAACAATGAGCTAAAGAAGTGCATTGAAACAGGCGCCGCAGACCACTTAATAAGGGAGTGTTCCGCCCTGTTGCAATTTCATGTAGTCACAGTTATCGACAATGAAATGCCCGGCCTACCACGTGCTCTACAGAAGTCAGGCCGTCCTTTGAAGAGCATCAAAGCACGTCTAAAGGGTAAAGAAGGACGTATACGAGGCAACTTAATGGGGAAGCGTGTAGACTTTTCAGCACGTACCGTAATTACGCCGGATCCGAATTTAAATATCGATCAAGTGGGTGTGCCAAGGTCTGTTGCGCAAAATCTGACGTATCCCGAGGTAGTGACACCATTCAACATTGAGGTAAACACTAAATTAATAGATATATCTGCTTATTATACAATATATATGTAAATGTATATCATTTAAAACCAGCTTATGCAAACCCTTGTTCAACGCGGCAATACACAATTTCCCGGCGCTAAGTATATAATACGTAGCAATGGCGATCGCATTGACTTGCGTTTCCACCCAAAACCCAGTGATTTACATTTAGAGTTTGGCTACAAGGTCGAACGCCATTTACGCGATAACGATTTGGTGATATTTAATCGTCAGCCAACGCTGCACAAAATGTCGATGATGGGTCATCGTGTCAAAGTGCTGCCTTGGTCCACATTCCGGATGAACCTTTCTTGTACCTCGCCATACAATGCAGATTTCGATGGTGATGAAATGAATTTACATGTACCTCAGAGCATGGAGACACGCGCCGAAATTGAAAATCTCCATCTGACACCACGACAAATTGTCACACCGCAAACCAATAAGCCGGTTATGGGGATTGTCCAGGACTGCTTGACGGGCGTGTGCAAGATGACCAAACGCGATGTCTTCATAACACACGAGCAATTCATGAATTTGCTGATGCATATGCCGTGCTGGGATGGTGTGATGCCGAAGCCGTGTATTTTGAAACCCACACTTTTGTGGTCGGGCAAGCAGCTTTTTTCTTTAATTATACCGGGAAATTTAAATATGATACGCACTCATTCAACGCATCCTGATGAAGAAGATGATAGTCAATATCGTTGGATTTCGCCGGGTGATACCAAAGTACGTACAAATGTAATACAATTTTGGTCATTTGAAAGATAGAGCCATTTATGAACTTGTATATTTTTTATTGTTTTATTTTTTAACACACTAAGACTTTTCCACTTATTTACGGACGGAATAAATTTTCCCCTTTCTCCTAATTGTAAGAATATGTATGTTATCTCCCATTTTATCTCATAATATCTTATGGAACATATTATATCATTAATTTGTAAACTAAGACTTCATGTTAAGTTAGGGGTTGCTGTAAATGTCCGTTAGAGACACTCTTTATCAGAAACATTAATAGCCCTTCAAATGCTTATGTGATTAGAAGTATCTTGTAGTAAGGTCTCTTGCATATTTCTTCTTGCATGTATGTAGATAATTTCAAGGAAATATTCTTAATTTTTTTTGAAAATTAAAAAACCCAATATCAACTGTTTTCAATTATGGTTTTAAAATTTAATATATTTATACATAATTTACAACAGTAATTTTTTAAGTAAAAAATCCAAGAATTTTCGTGTTACATGCGATCTGCAACGGCGCTAAAAAAAGAACCTCCACTGCTTCAGTGATTCCGGCCTTCTCCGTGAATGAAACCGGAAAAATTCTCTACTAGAAGATGTTCTCTGTAAAGTGACCGACGGTCGGAAAAAAAATCATAAATTGACAAAATGCCATTTAAGACTAAATAAGTTGAATTTTGCCCAAAGCTTAATCCCTCAAACAAATTTTAAAAATGATGTTTCGATAAAAACGTTCTTAAAGATAAATCGACGGAACTAATTGAACTTAGTTGCTACACTTTAGAAGGCTGTAACTCTAAAACTCTTTGAGATATCGATTTATTTTTAATTTAGTTTTAGTATGCTTTTCCTAAAGGTATAACCTATCGTAATAGGAAAAAATCGATTTTTATTTCCAATTTCACACTAGGTGTGCGGCTTAAGAGATTAGGCCAATATAGAATTTTCAAATAATTATAATAATGAATACAGAAGTTGGGAGAACGTAAAAAAAATATTTAAAACGATTTATTAATTAAATCATCACAGGTAATTGTCGAATATAGTGAATTAATTATGGGTATTCTTTGTAAACGCACACTGGGTGCCACCGCTGGATCCCTCCTGCACATTGCTTACATCGAGCTCGGTCATCAAATCGCTGGTGAATTCTATGCAAATATACAGAAGGTTGTCAACGCTTGGCTTTTACTCGAAGGTCACAGTATTGGAATTGGCGACACCATTGCCGATCCGGCCACCTACAAGGAGATACAAAACGCCATTGCCAAGGCGAAGAATGATGTAATGTTAGTCATACAGAAGGCACATCACATGCAATTGGAGCCAACACCAGGCAACACGCTGCGTCAAACATTCGAAAATCAAGTCAATCGCATTTTGAATGATGCGCGCGATAAGACGGGTGGCTCTGCAAAGAAATCGCTTACGGAATACAACAACTTGAAGGTAACGAAAGCAGGTATAATTGTGAAATAATTAATGAACGTTATGTATTTTCCAGGCCATGGTAATCGCTGGTTCCAAGGGTTCTAACATCAACATATCCCAAGTAATTGCCTGCGTTGGGCAGCAGAACGTCGAAGGTAAACGTATACCATACGGTTTTCGTAAACGTACAATGCCACACTTTATCAAGGACGATTATGGTCCAGAGGCGCGCGGCTTTGTCGAGAATTCATACCTAGCAGGCCTAACACCAAGTGAGTTCTACTTTCATGCAATGGGTGGACGTGAAGGACTTATCGATACAGCCGTAAAGACTGCAGAAACGGGTTACATACAGCGGCGTTTAATCAAAGCCATGGAATCGGTGATGGTTCAGTACGATGGCACAGTGCGCAATGCTGAGAGTCAAATTATACAGCTACGTTACGGCGAAGACGGCCTCTGTGGTGAGTCGGTTGAATTCCAAACGCTGCCCACCATACAGCTTTCGAACAAGGCATTCGAAAAGCAATTCAAATTCGACATCACTCAGACACGCAATTTGCGAAAATATTTCAACGAAGAGACCGTTCGTGATATCACCGAATCTACGGAGATCATTGCACAATTGGAGGTTGAGTGGGAGCAATTGTGTCGGGATCGTGAAGCTTTACGACAAATTTTCCCAACCGGTGATTCGAAGGTGGTGTTGCCATGCAATTTGCAGCGTATGATTTGGAATGTACAGAAAATATTCCATGTGGACAAGCGTTCTACCACTGCTCTCAATCCTTTAGACGTTGTAAAAGGTATAGTTCTGACTAAAAAAAACTGTTTCATAATAATTTATGAAATTTCGGTCCTCCAGGTGTACGTGAGTTGCTCAAACAATGCGTCATTGTGGCAGGAACCGATTACATTTCGCAGCAGGCCAATGACAATGCCACCTTCCTCTTTCAGTGCTTAGTACGCTCAACCCTTTGCTCCAAAGTGGTAGCCGAAAGCCATCATTTAACACCCGAATCATTCGAAATGTTGCTTGGCGAAATCGCTACTCGTTTTCAACTCTCACAAATCTGTCCTGGCGAAATGGTTGGCGCACTATCTGCCCAATCGTTAGGCGAACCAGCGACACAAATGACGCTAAATACTTTTCACTTCGCCGGTGTTTCGGCGAAAAATGTTACTTTGGGTGTGCCACGCTTGAAAGAGATCATCAACGTGTCTAAACGCCCACGCTCACCTTCGTTGACTGTCTTCTTAACCGGTAAACCCGCACGTGATGTAGAGAAGGCCAAAGATGTGCTGTGCCGCTTGGAACATACTACGCTTAAAAAAGTTACGGCTAATACCGCTATCTACTATGACCCAGATCCAATGCGAACTGTCGTGGGGGAAGATCAAGAATTTGTTAATATTTACTATGAAATTCCTGATTTTGATCCAAGTAAGTTATTTGAATAAGTATTTGTCTAGTCTAGTCTGACTCGATTTAGCCATGTCCGTCTATCCTGTATATACGCAAACTAGTTTCTCACAAACAAGCTTCCCCTTGACCCGGAACCACTGACATCGGACCGCTATAGCATATAGTTGCCATACAAACTGACCGATCAAACTCAAGTCCTTTTATAGAAATCTCTTTTATTTAAGCAGTTATCTTCACGAAATTTGCCATAGATTGTTATCCAAGCCATCGGAACAATCTCCGAACATATTGTTCAGATTGGACTACTATTTCTTATAGCTGCCTTTCAAACTGACCAATCAAAATCAGAATATATTTTATACCCTGAAATGCCTTAAAAATGTGTCTGTAAAAGGGTATTATAGCTTCGGTGCAGACGAAGTTAACTTACTTATTTAAACTCATTTTAAAATACATATACAATTAATTTTTAAGCTTAACATCATTTGGTCAGTGAAGTATGATTTCAATTGACTCGGAGCTCCTTACAAAATTATTTGTAAATGAAAAAATTTTTAAACTCTTCTTATAGACGAAATTTCACCATGGCTCCTACGCATAGAACTCGATCGAAAGCACATGACCGAGAAGAAACTCACCATGGAGCACATCGCCGAGCGCATCGCTGCCTCTTTCGGCGACGACTTGAAGTGCATTTTTAATGATGACAATGCACCACGTCTAATAATGCGCATACGCATTATGAACACTCCTAACTCGGAGAGCAAATTTCAAGCTGACGACTTGGCCGAGGAGGAGGCATCGCTCACTCGCTTAGATGACAACATGTTTTTGCGCTGCATCGAGAGCAACATGTTGTCCGACATGACACTGCAGGGTATAGAATCTATCTCCAAAGTGTATATGCACCTGCCACAGGTTACGAGTAAGAAGCGCATCTATATCACAGAAACGGGTGAATTCAAATCCGTGGCTGAATGGCTGCTAGAAACCGATGGAACAGCGTTAATGCGCGTGCTCAGCGAGCGGAACGTCGACCAAAGGCGCACCTTTAGCAATGATATATGCGAAATGTTTACAGTGTTGGGCATTGAGGCGGTGCGAAAATCGATTGAGAAAGAGATGAATAATGTCTTGCAGTTCTACGGTTGGTAACAATATAAATCCGAAAATGTGTATCTTGCTTAAAAATTAATGATCCGTTAGGTTTGTACGTTAACTATCGCCACTTGGCGCTACTCTGTGACATTATGACGGCCAAGGGTCATCTGATGGCAATCTCACGCCATGGCATCAACCGTCAACAAACCAGCCCATTGATGCGTTGCTCTTTCGAGGAGACGGTGGATGTGCTGTTGGATGCTGCAGCACACGGTGAACGGGACGCTATGCGTGGCGTTTCGGAAAACATTATAATGGGTCAAATGCCGCACATCGGCACCGGTTGCTTTGACATGATACTTGATGCATCTAAATGCAAACTCGCTATGGAAGTAGATTCTATAAACAACAAGAACGCCTTATTTTATGGTTCGTTGTTTACGCCGAATATTTTTCCAGGAAGTGGACGCAGTGGCATGATTGAGTACTCACCGGGTCTAGGCGATGGTCTAACACCACAATCTGCGCGTTCTGTTTGTTTCTCGCCTTTGTCGAATATGAGTTCGCCTACAATGACAGCAGATGAATTTTGTAGCTCACCCTATTCTTCGCCATCAACTACATCGCTCAAATCATACTATGGTGGCGCTTCATACTACTCGCCCATTTCGCCAATAAATGACCAAAAAGCATTTAGAAGTGCAAATATTTCCGGTAGCTGTAGCCATTTGTCATGCAGCAATGATTTACTAACCACTATTATGCAGTCTTCTAAGTACTCACCCAGTTCACCGGAATTTTCACCACATTATCAACGATATCTACAAGTTCATTCACCACAATCACCTTCAAACAGCAACATCACATTTTATTCACCAGATAGTTCAACAATGTCTTACAACAGCGTCACCGGTTCTTCGCGTTATTCACCGACCTCACCCGGATATTCACCGCAAACTAATAACTATTCGCCCACTTCACCATCCTATTCGCCCACCATAATGAGTTCAAACCGGTGCTGTAACAGTTTTTCACCGAGCTCACCGACTAGTAATAATGATTCGTTATATTCACCTTCCTCACCGCTGAACACACCAGATTCTCTAACCGATAAAATGTCTACAGCATCCGATAGTTGTTCTAAACGTACAAAACCCAAAAAATATAGATCTACTCCGTATTTCTATGCCGAAAGTAATGGCACCCCATCCAGTAGTGCAACATACTCACCCACAAGTCCCATCTACGCTCATTACTCACCGTCAAGCCCGAATTGTGTTATGCAAACACCCCATTATTCGCCTTCCACTCTTAGCTATAATCCTTTGAGCCCCAGCTATACACAAATCAGTCCTTCGTTTACTACTAATTCACCACAATACTCGCCACTAAGTCCAAAAATCAACTATTCCCCCACAATCGCATCACCGCAAATGCATTTTATTTTACCACCTTCGCCACAACAACAATACTCAGCATCTATGCAGAGTCCACGCTACCCTAGTAGCTCCTCGATCACTTACTCACCAACGTCACCAAAACATTCACCGAATTCCAACCGTTATTCACCAAGTAGTCCAGCCAGTCCCAATTATTCCACCGCTACTCATTCAAATGTGGTTTACTCCCCACATAGCCCTAGTTTTTACTCATCCTCGCTATCGAGTCCCGTTCATAGCTCCAGCGAATCTCCAATGTCACCTATAAATCCCAACAGTCCGGCTAGCCCACAGTATTCTCCGACCTCAAACTGAAATTGAAAGAAAAATATTAGATACACGCATTAATTGCATAGTATGATATAATTAATGTTTGTTCAAAAATTTGCTCTTACTTTTAACTTGTGTTGAATTAATTTCTAAATACCTAATAATTATTTGTAATGACGTGCATATGAAACCCGTAATTTATTAATTCCTCGCTAAAAAATATTTAATTAGCTCATTTATATTCCTATAGTATTATATATAATTAAAACTCTTAAAATTTTGAATTGATAAAATCTCTTGAATTTAATTCTTTTTTTATTATCATATGAGTTGTGTTTCTATGTACTTGTATATTTATTAAACAAATTTTTGGCATTAATCGAACAATTTGAATAAAAGGCCTTTTTCGGAAATGCAGTAAATTCTGGCAACACTGCACAGTTTGCACTGCTGATTTTATGCTGACTGATGTCGTTGTAAGTAACTGCTAAAAACTGCGGATATGAAAATTTGCATATTCAAACAAAAAATGTGCGGTATAGCAAAAATTAACGATTTCTATTAGAAAGGTACAAAGAGATGATGACTCGTGTAAAAAAAAAAAAAATTTATTAATTGTCGAACAGCTTTTAGTCAAACGGATTATTCCAAAGTGATAGCTTTAGTGCACTTCACGCAATCTCTTTCTACTACATCCTATAAAATTCAAAAAATCCACAAATATAATAAAACATAATAACATATTTAACATAAATAACTTACAATGGTTTTGGTGTAATTTTTCGGGGAACTACTTTTCAAATATTGCAAGGTTTGCGCGTTTTTGCGCCCAAAATCAGGCAAAAACAGAAAAAAGTGTTTTAACTTCGACAAATTTCTTCCAAGTTTGCCAATTGGAAAAAGCATTGAATTTCTTATATTAAATATGTATATATTTCTCCCAGAAATATAAGTTTCACGTTTGTCCCAACGAAAGTTTGCCTTATGTATACGTTTCAGTGATCTGATAGCGAACCTATATCGTTCATAATCACTCACGCTAACCCGAAGACTAGGGTGGAGAAAATAGTCTAGGGGACGTAAAGATAATATTGTACAACATTTTTTTTGAGATTTTCGAGAGTCCCATTTCATATACACTTAAGTGGTAACATCGCCTCTTTTAACGTACATTTTTACCTTACTATATCAATATGTATATATTATATACATATGTATGTATATCAAAATTACGTGTTACGTTTTCGGAGTAAAGTCCTAAACTAAGAAATGTAGCGAAAAGGTTCAACTTCATTGTTCGACGAAATCGTGAATGGATTACAATCAAATTTGGAATTATACTCAGGCAGGTTCGGGGCTCCGAGTGAAGGTGGAAATTAAAATGAATTCAAAAATGAGAAATTTGTTCGTTTTCGTTCTCGTTGAATGAATGAAAGCTTCAAAATATCCGAAAAATAAAACTAATCAAAAAAAGTATATAAAAATAAGTGCGTTATACATTTGCAACGATTTTTTATAGAAAGTGAACTGAATGCAGAAGAAGCAAGTGGTAGGAAGTTTTTATGTTATCGTTCAAATCCACTAGGTGTGCCTGATTATAAGTAAGTATAAGGGCGAGTAAAAAGCTATTTGGCAATGTATGGTTTTAGTAGGTACTGTATAAGTGCGATCAGGTTACGTTATATACTAAAACATAGAAAAGTATTGCTTGACTTTATTGGAGCACTCGTTAAAGATGGACATCAGCAAAGACATCAGTTTTTATTTCGGTAAAGGCGCAAAACCCCAAATGGGATTATTCATTTTAATTTCGATTTAATGCAAAAATATATTTTTACTAGTCGTATTCTGTAGCACGTGAAAAAAAGATTCAGTATTGATGTTGAAAATCACCGTTAAAAGCTTGTATCAAGCTACAGAGTGAACAAATGTGCTTTTTGAATGTTGCTAAACGCCGTGGCTACCCACTTAGAAAAAGAGAGCATCCCGGCAGTTGGCGGCCACGGTAAGATTTTTAGTCCATGTGGAAAAATCTTGATTTCGCCCCATTAGATCCATTTTAAGCACAAAGATAAACTGTTAGTTGGCCGATATATGTGATATAAAGTCGACTGGAAGGAATTTTTGACACGAGGGTATACTATTATTAAAAAAACATTATGTATCTCACAGATTGACCGAAATTTTCGGCAAAAAGTCAGCCTTAGGGTCTGGGATCCACATTTCCGGTATCTGGGGCTTGAATATTTATGATCATATTTTGACAATTTTTAGACCTGAGATGGAATACCTTATCTTGACTTGTATACTGGAAAGTGTAAAAATCAGATGAAATTTAACTTTGTGTTATATGGGAAATAAGCGTAAGGGTTACTGACCGATTTCGTCCATTTTCCCACTGTAACATGGGAATGTCAAAATAATCTTATATACCAAATTTGGTTGAAATTGATGGAGTAGGTTCGGAGACATGTGGTTTCACCTAAATATGGGCGGTGCCACTCCCATAATCCAATTCGGACACCTGCTCCTATAAAGCCCTTTTGTATCATCTCGAATGTAAAATTTAATGTCTTTGAGGCATTTCGTTATTGATTTATCGCAGTTTTAGTAGTTATTAACAGAACAGTTAAATGGGGAGTGGGCGTGATTATCATCCGATTTCATTATTTTCATGCTGTGGCAAGAATTGTCGAAATGATGTGTCCTGTGCAAATTTGGGTGATATAGCTTTGAATACTTTAAGAGATATATACATTAAACCTATTAGGGGGCGGGACTATAAAAAAATGTTCAAACCACAGATGCCTCTCATCATTGCGATTCGTTGTACCAAATTATGGTTTTCTATCCCAATTTGCGGTTTAGTTATGGCAATTTATAGGTTTTCGATTAATGATAGATTAATTTGTGGGCAGTGGTCCGATTATGCCCACCTATGAACTTGTCCGTAACATGTGCAAGAGTATAAAAATGTTGCGAAATAATTCAACATTCATTGTTCGATGAAACTGAATGGTTTACAATCAAATTCGTATCTTAATAACTTAAGTTATTGGTCATAAGTAAATTCAATTACATTAATAATTTAATTTTTCTTCCCGTCAGCGAAAATTATTATAAAATCATCCTTAAATAAGATATATCTGACATAAACTTAACAGAAAAGGCCAAATTTCCTACATTGAGTTTATGTGGAAATCGTCAACCAGAGGAATAGATTATGAGGTCTAAACCAAGGTCTAAACCAATTCGTTTCATTTTCAGCGCTAATTTTTAAGAAAGCTTGTCCACTGAAAGTTATTAAAATATCACCCAACCTAAACGGTTTAAAGACAGGTGGAAAGTCGGTTAGATGATGACTGATATCTTACATATTTGTGGTATAAAGTCAGCCGGAAGGGTAAATGGGCAAAAAGCGGATCTTATATTCCTTCGATATATGTCGATGTGTATGTGAATGTCGATTAAAGGGATATTTGTCCTTGCGGCAAAAGTGTGTAATCCAACGACTGTTTTCTTGCATTTCCAAATAAAGACAAAACTTTCTACCAATTAACGGTTAGAAAAAAATCCCATATATTATTGAAAGTTTGTAAGAGAGTAACTACAGAATTGTAATTATCGCTTATACAATTTTAACATAATCGACATATTTTAGAACAATCAGGTCGAGAGCCTCACCTGACATGAGTACAAAATATATTTTATAATTTGAAAGTTAAAAGTTAAACTTTTCTCCCTCGTCCGTCTCAATCTCTCTGCGGAATTATCAGACACCGACTGTTTATTAAATAGAGGTTGTAAATTACACTTCCTTTAAGAAATTACGAAAAGTCAATAATTACATACACTCTTGAGTGCAATATGATTTAATAATATGATATTAAAATGATAAAATGGTTTTGAATTTACACGTGGAAGCCTTTGGACTTACCTCAATCCTACAGCATTTGCCACATTTCAATGTTTCTCAAGTCAGACGTTCGTTGCAAAACCAAACATAGAGTTGAGAAAGAGCGAACAGCACACGAACTTCAGGTGGAGAGTGAACAGCTGTTAGCTTCTCAGAATGTTTACTTAGCAATTAGGAAATTGCGCTCTGAGTTGACCATCCAACAATCATATATTGATTTTTCGCAAAGTAAATAGTCATCGTCACAAGCACAAAGGCAGAATTACAAGTGCACTAGTCGCCAATCGAAGCTCATTTCCATTGCTTCAAGAAACAAAACCAAAGACTTGTGCCAAATGCTCGTAATACTATTTCAGCAAGTAAAACATGGGCAATTTTCTTAACCAAAGCCACAATAAACAAGTACCTTTGCTGCCAAACATGAAGTAAAATATCAAAACATTTATAAAAACAAAAATATCTCAAAAATTGTCATAAATATATACATACTTATGTGTATATGTGAATAATACGAAATATAAGTATATTCGCGAAAAACTATGTGAATGTGTACAGAGATTAAATCTTTTGAGCTCAAAATCTAAAAATAAAAGTGCTTAAAATATATGAGAAGAAACTGACTTTGTGATACAAGTGCTTAATTTGATTGTTGACATTCTCATACATGCATACATAATATAAACAAATAATTACCAAGAATCGGTGTTACGGAAATTGATTATTGTCAAGAGAACCTCTATGCGATTTCTCAAGTCAATTGCATGGAAAATGTAAATGCCACAACACAGAATCCACTACCATGAGTTTAGTGATAATTTACGCAGACGAAATTAACACACAATTCAAAACATAATTAGGAAACCAAATACTTAAGTAAGATAAAACAAATCTTGGTCTTTGAATTTGTTGTTACTGCATTCTACACCCTTGTCGTATTTAAGCTCACGTCGATATGACAGTAACATAACAGTTGCTCAATCTATATTTAAATCATACCAGACTTGCCCACATGACTTTTTCCATGGATAAATCACTTAACGGTATTCTCATCTTATAATGAAATAACGTTTTTTAAAGTTGGAGTAAAATATAATATAACCCCAAAAACATTTTCTACGATATATATAATATTTTCGATCGGATAACATTTAGCTTCTTCAACCGATAGTTTGCAACGAATATTATTTATGGCGTATTCTCCGATTTCTCTTAAATGTAAGCAGTTTGCTGTGATTTCATCTAAATAACCCTACTTCTTCTGTTAATATTCGTTTAGTGTATCCATCTAGGAAGTTTTCTCAGTTTTGTGAGTATTTCAAGAAACATTTAATTTTTTTTAATATTTCAAATGATAACAATTTTAATATATCCAAGATCTGTATGATACTATTTGATATGATACGATACTACAAGTATATACGGTGCTGACAACTTAGTTTATCGATAGTCCAAATGTTATTTTTATTGTTTTAACACTTTAAACAAATTTCAAATAGTCGTCCTGAAGTCTTAAAACTGACTCATAGGCGCAGTCCAAATTTTAAAACTGTCAGGTGAAAATAAAAACTCTATAAAGAGAATGATTGTACGAGTGTAAAGAAATTACATTTCCTACTTAATTTATTAATTTCGACTATTATATTGTTTTTATATCCTGAACAGGGTACCCTGAACAGGGTATATTAAGTTTTCCACGTTGTCCCTCAGTTTTTGAGATATCGCTCTGAAATTTTGCACACATCCTTTTCTCTTCAAAAAGCTGTTCGTTTGTCGGAACCGCCGATATCGGAACCAGTCCATCAAACTAAAGTCCCTGTATGGAAAAAATGTTTCTTTAGTAAGATATCTTCAGGAAATTTGCCATACATTATTATCCAAGGCTATAACCTTTGAACAAATTCTTCAGAACAGACCACTATACAATATAGCTGCTATACACAGTGACTGCCCAACTCAAGTCCTTGTATGGAAACCTTTTTATTGCCATTCCAACTTATCGTTTAAAATAAAGATATCATATCAAGATACCCTTTTATGCTTTTTATCGTAGCTTCGGTGTAGCCGAAGTTAAAGGTTTTCTTTGTATGGAATACGATATAACCAACATATGTATTGTAATATAATACGATATAATATCATGTACATATAAATAATATATCATTTTACTTCTGCTAATAAACATTGTCATTGGAGCATCAAACTAGCCAGGATTTATACAACTTACAACCAGGGTTGCAAATGATGCATTAAAAATCAAAGTATTATCAGGAAAGACTGTGCACCTGCATACATACGTACACTCGGCAGAAAAAGTCTGCGTACACGCTTATGTCTTATTTTATTTAGTTAAAAATATCATATACTAAACTATGGGTTAAAACCCCATTAAGTGCTTTATTACTAGTCTATCCATCCTATAATAATCCCATAGAATTTAAAGCAGTGAAAATCTGATACCAAAGTTTTATCGATATACATCGATATATTTACACAAAATTGTCATATCGCAGTAAATTGGAAAGGAATTGTTGGAAGAATGTGTTCTGTTGGAAGAACACATTCTTCCATAAAAAGAATAATAAAAATTACAAACATACCAGCTTTTTTATATCTCGGCCAAAAATACTAGCATAGCGTGAAACACGTAATCTTCTGACAGAAAATATGAAGCACAGCCCCCGACTTACTGCAACCGAAATCGCTCAAAATTTTGAGAAATCCCGCTGCACTCACACGATTCGCAAAATTAAAAAAAAAACGATTTAATGGTCAAATCGCACACAGAAAGTCATTCATATCGTCAGTCAATAGACAAGTGCAGAATGCTTTCGCGAAAGAGCAGGAGTTTTGATAGAAGATTATTTTGTCCGATGAAAAGAAGTTTTGGGTCCTTGGAATCAAAGGCCGAAAGATTTTATGGCGAAAAACGAGCAAGGCACTCGATAAGGAAATCTTGATGCATACTGTCAAGCACGATGGTGAAGAAGTATTGATATGGAGGTGTATAGCTAGTAATGGTGTGGGATGAATGGAAGTTATAGAGCCCACCATGGACAAATATGCATACCTTAATATCTAAAAAATTAACTTGTAACAAAGAGCGGAAGAATTATGTCTTGGAAGCAACTGTTATTCTACAAGATAACGACCCGAAGCATACAGCATAGACATAGTTAAGCTTTGGTTACTCTACAGCGTTCCTAAGCAGCTTCAAACACCACCAGAATTACCACGCTCAATTGCCTTAAAGGATATGCTCAAGGATGTGCTGAACGAGGAATGGGCCGACATCCCTTCGAAAGAAACCTCTGAACTTGTCTACTTCATGTCAAAACCCCTAGCGGAAGTTTTTAAGAATAATTCGGACTAAGAATATCTTTGCTCGACTTATGTACCCTGTACGCAGACTTTTTCCAATGGATTTCATCAAATAAATTGGTTTTTATAAAAAGTACATAAAATTATTTTTTCCAACGATTTATTTTTGTTGGTACCTTGTACGCACACTTTTTCTGCCTAGTGTATGTATTGTGTATTTTACCAATTAATTGATTATCTATAGCTCCAGCGTTAAGAAATTAATTTTGACAGTTAAATTCACATCTACGTACACAGACCTCCATTATTTACAAGTTCAAATTAGGAACCTCCTAATCACTTTAAGTAAATCGCCAATTGCAACTTTTCAGCCTCACTGTCAATCCAAGTGAGAAGCAAACTCCACAGTTTATGATATTTGACGGCCGGGAGCTGGCTACCGCCGCGCCACAGATTAGTTTTAAGGTGCTAGGCTTTCGTTCTCTTACATACGCACTATGTTTGTTTTTGTTCGGCATTCTTACCTACTTAAAAATTTTATTTTTTGAGAATGTATGCGTGTGGAGAGCGACTCAACTGTCCCAGTGGTACGTTTTACTGAACCTCACCTTTTTCAGTTCAAGTGTAATTAGGACCACCGCTGGTTTCCTTTAAATCGTTTTTGTATGAAAACGGTGTGCAAAATATATTCTAAAGGCTCTGTTCCAACTAAGAACTGAATTATTTATAATCTAAATAGTATTGTAAAAAAAAAATTACTTATGAAAAATATAAGTAATTGTATTTTAAATTATGAACAATTAAGCACTGATATATCAAACAAATTACATCTCTATTTAAATGTTCTACATAGAAAAATCTCATTCCCACTCCATATTAAAGGGCATATAAAATCGTTATTATTTTCTTTCCACGCACATTTTCTTCGCTCTTAACATTTTTGTAGTAAATGTAAAAAAGTAATTCCATTTTTATAAGTATTAACTTACGTATATATTATTACATTTAATACCGCTAAATGTTATTAATAATTTATCAAATATATATTTGTGAGTATCTTAATCTTATCCTTATTTCCAATTTTTCAAAATAGTTCTATTATTCTATGCATACAAGTATGATACATATTTGCATATTACATGCAAAAAATAGATTGTGGAATTCAAATTTCCTAACATGTCGTATATATAAATTAAAACCAAGCGCTATTGCAACCATGAAAAGAATTTCAAAATGAATGCTGAATTGCGTAGCAGAGAACTGCTACGAACAAGAACACAAAGCATGCTACCCGAGCACGAGCGGCACGGTCCGTTTGCCTTTCTTCGTCGTGCTCTGGCTAACAAAAAACCGGTTTGGGTGACAAAAGAGTCCGTGTGTGAACTGGGAGTTACATAGCTGTGTAGTCTTCCCAGATTGGATAATAGCAGCGCAGCCACTGAATATGATTGTGGCGATAATGAAAAACCCCATTCATATATTGGACAATGGGACAATTTACATTACATTACAATTTAAAATGGACCATTTCACAAAGTGTTGGACCAATGACGCAAGAGAAAAGAAATGGATCATATTTGGTCCAAATGGACCAAAACGGTAACAGTACTGCCGATCACTGTTTTACAGTGAGGAAAATTAATTACGTTATTACATTCGTATCCAAAAACGGCTTTTATGTTGTATGAATATCACTTCTTTCTCCATCCACCAAACACTACCAGCTTACCAACATTTCTTATATCTTTGTCAGCGTCGTAATAAGTATCTTGTTGATCGCTCATTGTGGACAAGAGTATATATGCACTGTAAATATATTCGTGAGGTTGTTAATGAATAGAATGTGTCACTTGTTGGCCAATGCGTATATAAGTGAATGTGTAAATACGAGTACATCAGTTGATACTCAGCGTGAAAATGGTTAAGATACTTGTATAGCAACAAATTTCATAATAAAGTACAAACGCAGTTTTGTAAGGCATTTATTGCGAATCGAAGCTATATGTAAAAATACGGTACGTTTAAGCCAATTAATATGACGCGTTCGATGTGTGATTAACGGTATTGAGGGATTTTCGATTAATAACATTGCATATTTTAAGGCGAACAGCATAAGGAAAGTGGTAATGGGCTTATTGTCTGTTTTAATAAGTGTATCTTAACCTTTAGTCTTAAAGTTGTTGTAGACAAATACACAACTGGTGAGGGTACGACACTAATACCACGGATAAGCAGTGCTATTAATTTTTTAACCACCTTGCAATGGCTAATAAAGTTAGGCAAAACATTGATTAAAGTCAAATTGCGAATCTTTGAATTCAACAATACAGCAGTTATACATATACCCGTGAAGTCACGTGTTCCTATTTCGATACAAACAAGCAGCTGGTATATTTTGTATAGCGAAGTCCTACAAGTGTGTCGCCAGAGTTCCATAAAAATATACCAGAGTTGCTTCTCAAAAGTGATTCTACTCTCCCGACTATCCTTAGTTCTAAACTGAAAAAGTTTGTGCCTAACATAGTTTGATATTACGTTGAAAAAAATCGCAAACAAATGCATATGAATGTTCGATGATAAGGAACATTTTTTACTGTCTTATAAAGTTATTAGAGCATACACAAATGGTCAAATAGAGATATTCAAAATACAATTAGAGTGACACTGCCAACTTTTAGTTGAAATCCTATATCTCAGGAAATACTTAACCGATTTGGTGTGTGAGGTTATTCAATCATTCATTTCATACACTGTGAAAATGGACGAAATCGGTTGACAACCACGCCTATCTCCCATATAACACATTTTTTAGTTCCATCTGATTCTTTCGCTTTACAATATACAAATAAAACATCAAGAAGTTATCAGAATAAAACTTTGCACAAATAGTGGCCTTAAGATATTTCGGGAAAAATATTTCTGTGATGACAGCATGCCCTTGTGCCGAAAGGAAGTATTATCAATACTTCCATTAGCCCCTATACTTACCTATTATAAATATTTTCGATCTTCCGGTTGACTTTATACCGCATCTATCAATCAATATGTAAGAAATCTTCATAAAATTCATAAAGAATCTCTTTTTATATAATAGTGTATCTTCTTGCCTGCGGTTGTAAATAATGGATGCAGTAACTTTAAATATATGCATATAAAAGTCGCGTACATAATTTTACCTTGTGAGAGTATAAATCGTTCGGTTACACCTGAACTTAGTCCTTTCTTACTTGGTTATTTTAACTTTGACAATTACAAACCAATTGAGTTGGTTAGATATGTTTTTGAAACGCCAATTCAGTCCGACTTGTATTATAATTCACATCGCAACAAAACAACGCCCGGAAATTGGAAGTTTATCAATTCAGCTGATCTTCAATATACATCAAGGACAAAATAAACTAATTGAAGCTGTTTGTGTTAATGTTGTCAGAGTCAGCAATTAGGCGCCATTGTAATCGAAGAGACACGTCGCTTGCACCACAATACAACGAACAGTCGCCCGAAGGTTTACTGGTTTTTATTATATTCAATTTCTGCATCACCCTGTATGTCTGATGGTAAAAATAGGTAACTTTGCTCACTTGAAGTTCTGCTTATAAATTTAATTTATTAATATAATATAATCATATAATATAATAAACTCAAATAGTGCAAATCGCTATCGTTGCAATATGAGGGAGCATGTTTATATGTATGTACTTTATAGTAAGGGAAAATCTTCAAAAAAACAAATTGTGTCGGACAATTGGTTCGTGATATAAAACAATTGTTGAGTATCGCATGTTTTAATAAGTTGAAAAAAATTTATAAAAAGTAAAGGGATGAGTGTTAACCGGGCTCAAAGGCGAAGCAACATTTTGTAAAAAATGTGCTAAATTCAATCTATCAGACTATAATATCACTAAAGACGATGAATCCAGTAGATGAAACCATCGTAAAAACCACCAAATGATCGAGATAGTTATTTTTGTAAAGATATCAAAGGAAGAACGTGATCAAATCGTTCTTCAATATTTGAGTATAGTCAAGTCTGGCTACCGCGCGAGATTAGATACGACATATTTACCGTGCAACAAATTATTACACCCGAAAGCAAAGTTGCATAAATTACGCTTTTCAAACCTCAACCCCTCAAGACAATAATCGCTGGAAAGTAATTGCGGATTGTATAAAATAAAAAAATAATTTTAGGTACATACATATATTTGTCTAGAATAATTACAGCGAGTTTTGCGAAAATAAAGTATTTTTCTTTAAAACAATACGAATTCTTCTCTCTACTTGTTCTGTGCGAAAAAATCAAATATCTGTCACATTTTGGTTAAAAAAATTTTGGAAGAATTTTTAGAGAACGAAATTTAATATTGTATCGAATATTTTTATAATGATAAAGAAATATTAATAAACAGAAATTCTTTTCCGATGAATATATGCAAAACAACATAAACAACAAGCAGCAAGGGCAATGGAGAAGCTTGCTTACATTCCTATGCATAACAAACACCAATACCAATAGCACGATAAAAAACTTATTTAAATAAATAACCAATTGTGGGTTATTATGAATAAATTATTAGCAGGCATTCGAGCGCCAAGCGCAAAACGCTCAACTCCGCAGACCGGCAATTCGAACAACAAAGAAAAATACTATTAAAATAAATAATGGAAAAAGGCTATAAACAAGCTGGACAAAAGTTTAAGATCTAATAACGTATATGATAATAATTATACAAAACCACGCATATGAAATAATAAGCGTGGAAACAGCAAACAATACTCACATACAGTGAAATGGGGTGCAGTAACGAAACTTTTGTCTGCTTTGATCTGTTAAGTGCCTATTCTATATATTGTATGTACTGTAAGCGTCAAAATAAAGTGTACGGCACACTTTAAATATTACTTTTCACTATCTTCAATATTTACAAAGAGAATTCATTAAATATATTCTTACTTACAACCCAACATTTTATCATTTAAAATCTAAACATCAACCTTTTAGAGTACTTTAAGTATTTTCTTTAAAGGATGAAGGTGCATGATTCAATTCTTGTTTTCAGGAAAGAACTTTTGCATTGAAATTAAATAGCGCCTGGATGCTGTACATAGTGACTCTTCTTCTTTGATTCCATTAAAAATCGGTTTATCGGTTTTTGATGAGCCACTCGCAAACCTTCACGATCTTATATTGACAGAGCGACAATTGATGATGCGTGGTTCATATTCTAGATGAAATATTTGGCATGAGAAAGGTACCGAGTTGGCTCAATTGTGAACCACTTCAGAGCAGTGGTTGCCAGTTTCTGCGTAGTTTCGCGATTATCGACGAAACATAGATCCCCTAGTACACACTACAGACAAAAAAAATAGTCGAAACATTTGATTTCACCCTGCGAACCTGCAATGAAGAAAGCGAAGATTGTCCTATCGACTGAAAAGGTTATGGACATCGTTCTCTTGGATACACAAAGGGGGTTTATATAGTCACAGGGCTCTACTATGCCATATTATTGTTGCATTTAAAAAGTGCCACGACAACACACCTGCTGACACACCCGGAATCGCCACGGCTAAATTAGTAGATAGTATATAATTGGTTATATCCACAAGTGAGTCTGAAAAACCGTGCTTTCGTAACTTTTGTTTTTTGGAGAAGGCATTTTACTTAACAAATAAATAAAAAATATACTGTGCGTTCAAAAAATAAAGCTTTTTCTTTGAGCGATCAATTCGCGGAAAACTGTTGACTTGCTAACTTTAATATTTTTTAATAATCGGCGATTCATTTTGAAAATTTTTTTATTCCCTTCATTCTCATAGCTGATCTCCAGAAGCACCCACACAAAAAGGTGTCTAGCTACTGGTGTGAGAAACATTTTTCTGGTTAAAATTATCTCATATCCAAAACCAAATATATTATTATTATTATAGTTTAATACAGATTTTTGACAAAATTACGGCTTCTCAAAGAAAAAGTAGATTTTTGTAAAAAAATTTACAAATCAAGCTAGCTTACAAAATCGAAATTCTGTTCAACAATCTTATTTCTTCGGCCATCGTGTGAAAATTTCCACACGATCCTCACCGAGTCATAAAACAGCGTTTCGAGAAAAACACATTTCAAATTTTGGGAGTTAAAAAATTCTTACAATGTTTTTAAAATTTTCTAAGAATATTCTCAGATATTTATTAACATTTGATATACATTCGTATTATCAAAAGTCGTTTTATTGAGATTCACAAGTGGATATAACCGCTTAAGCTACGATGCTGCCCGATCCACCGTTTTCACCAGAATTGAACCTCGAAACTACTCTTGTTGGTAAATGGTGGTGTTCACATTATTTTGACGCTCACTGTTTGTATGTTCATATTCACGTATAAACGCTAACAACGGATAGCTGAATCAAAACAGGCAAATAACAATAAAGTGTAGTCGAAAAAAGAACAAATACAGTAATAATCTGTAGTTTTCGCATTATCAGCAGCGACTGGCGTGACCACTGTTTGTATCAAAACGCGCCAAAACTGCAATATGTAAAACCACAACAAAACAACAATTCTCGCACAAAGTAGTATCGCGAGATCTATAAAGACACGTGCATAAATATACATACAATAAAAATACCGCTCAGATTTATACGTATGGGTATGTACATATATATAAGTATGTGTGCAAGAGGAGGACTGGTAGCTAAATAGAACCGAAACAGAGTAGCCAAGTATTTAGAACCAACCATAGTCTCCGTTGAGTCGGTCCACAGTCAGCTTTCCGCCGTTTAATACAGAGCAAAACCATGCAGAACACTTGGACCGCGTAAGTTTCGAACAGTTAGCGCCGCTGATACCCAATTTTCGCTGGAATGCAATTTTTTGCATTCTCACTCAGATTTACATGTGTACATAGTAAACAAATATTAACTGCACGCTTACATATGTACACATATAGATCAAGGATACCTATGTATCAATAATGAAAGCATGTGAGTGTTTCTGAAAGAGGTAAACGTAGCCTACATTTTTGTGACATTCGGCCGCGCGGTACCTCGATATAATCAGCTCCCGCTGGTGTCCAATGTGCATAGGTTTAAGAAAAATACGAAGTGAATACATTCAATCTTGAGATATAATTTAAAAATTCTGAATTTTTTTTGTTATTGTCGTCGAAGGTCTATCTTTGCCATGACTGAAAATAAACGTTTTAAGGCGCGCAGTTGTGGTTGGTGCAATGGCAGCGCTAGTGGCGGCTGGTGCTGGCATGTTACCTGCCCGCGTCCAGGCAAGCTACGGTGAAGATAGACGGTATGAATGAACAATCTCTCACAACGAGTGGCACTATAATTAGCGTGTAATCAAATAATATGAACAACAACAGATTACAACGATTACTTCCAAGTGATAAGAAAGTAAATTGGGTGCAAAATTTTCTACATAAAATCATATAAGTATGCTTCATATGGGACTATAGGTCTAAAAAATTGTTGAAATATGAAAGTAAAAAATTAATGCAATCGGAAAGCTGGAAGGAAGTGTAAAGTTCATTTAATAAAAAAAATATGAAATATTGTTAAATTAAATCTACAAAGCCAAAGTTTGATAAATAGAAAGTCTAAATGAGTCCTGCAATTAATTAACACCGCTTTATGTATTGAATGATGGAATTTTATCTTTTAAAGTTCAATATTTTGTAACAAAATCATCACTGTCGACTATTGCTTAACATCTGCGTGACATTGGCTCCACTAATTTTTGGCAGATGTCCTTTGGAATCGCTTCCCACTCCTTTTTAGCCATTTCTTTTACACCGTCGACGTTTTACTTTATAAAGCCATACGTTTTGTTTTTAAAGGGAGACCTAAGGTTCTTAATATGTTTAGAACTGAACTACAAGAAAAACAGTCTAAAACAGTCACCAAATTGTCCTGAAACCTTGGTTCATTTGTTCATCAATTTTTGATATAAGCCAAATCCCATGCCATAACATTGCACCCCAAAGCATTATATTGCCGCCAGGCTTGAAGTAGTGTAACTAGCTCTTTTCAGTTTGGTGACCTAACCAAACTTTTTTTTTCTGAACAGCCTCGGTTTATCTTTATTTCATCAGAAGACAGCACCTTTCTTTCAAATAGTCCTGCTTCGTGCGTTCTTAATTCGTTGGCAGTTCTATGGAAATACTTTCGTGAACAATAATTTCGTCTTACTTTGTTACAATAATGTAGCATTAAACTATATCCCTTTCGCACTGTTGAGCGACTTTTATATTTCATCGTACGACTTACCATTCTCTCTCAAGTGGACTATAACGGCTCTTGTATCCTCACCTCAAGATTTCTTTTGACCCATACTTTTGTATCACTAAATTTAGTCACTTTCAATAAAAATATAAGAAAAGTCGTACATAAAATAGCTTACTTTCCAAAAATAACCTGAAAAATATATGAGCGTTGCTAACTAGGTGCACGATCGATTTAATTACATTGCCGAAAAAAATTCCATTTCACCAAAATAAGGCATTTTGAATAATATATTTTGATAGTTATTGAAAGACATATCTTAAAATTAAAAAAAAACAAAAAAAACATAATAAAAATGCAATATATTTACGGCATGTCGTTGTTAATTTGTTGCACGCAACTGTATGTATGCATATATGCGCATATGTAAGTAAAAGCGCGGAAATAAAAAAGAATCTTATTGGACGAACGCCAATGAAAGCCGGCAAGTGGCCGAAAAGGAAGTGAAGACGACCGAATAGTTAAAATAATAAATTGAGGGTCTTCGAACAGGCTTCCGACAGTGAGCAAGGTTATAATGTCTAAACATCATTAAACACACAGCTGGTAAAACTACTTAAGTCAAAGATAATATCCTTAAAGTATAAATTAAATGAACAGTTCATTATATTTTGGTTCATTTAGTACCATCCTTATATTTTAATATAGGTATGGCAAACTCGATTCCGATTCTACTCGAGAATCGATTTTTTTCATAAAATAATCGATTTTTCGAATACAACCTTTACCTACCGAAGTCAATCAAGAATCTTGAAGTTCGATTAGGTGACTAGTTTCAGGCTCTACATACCATCATAATACATAAAATCATGTTATAGAAAGCCATACAACTATTATATATATTTATTTATTTCCAGAATATTTACAACCGAAAAAAAATCATATAGAGTAGAAACTGATCGAAGTTGAGCGTAAAGCTGATCAATACGAGAAAACAGTTTTGAAGCGTGTTGTTATATATTCAAAAAACTTTTGCGGATAACGTCTTAAATCTTTATATAAATAGTGAAATTCGATAAGTTCATCCAGTGAAATTATATTTATCGATGTTTTCCATACTTTTTTTTTTAATATTTGGCACAAAGCTGGAAGCAAAATATTCTTTTTCTTAGGAATCCATACCATAAATTCTTTTTAGCTATTTGCCTTAATGAGAGATAAATGAACAATCAATAAATCGAAAACAAACTCCGACATAAATAGGGTAACAGACATTTGACAGTTCGCATCTAAAAATTGTTGAAATCGATTCCAAACTTTGCAAGCCCTAATGAGTATATATGTGCATCCCCTTGACTTAGCTATATATTATATGTACATATCTAAAAAGCTCATAACTTAATAAACCCACAGGTACAAATACCATGATATTCGACCTTCCGGTTGACTTTATACCCCATACTTCGGTTAATATCCAATTTATCTTTATAAACTGATATGTATGGACATATTTTATTGAGCTTTTGCATTGTTTGGTGTGAACAATCGGTGAAAACGGTAAAGATCTGTGCTTGCCTCCGTATTCATATTATAATTATTTCCGTTTCTTTGGACGACTTTATTATTTTGAGAGCATATAACATTCGATTCCATTCGAATGTAACTCTTTCTTACTTGTTTATATCTGAATACTGTACGTGAATGTCGCTTAATGATCATCCTATTCTCGTAGAAGTAAGATGTGTGTGCTATTTCTATAATATACATATAGTGAATTAAAATAGGGATGGAAACATTTATACAGCATCGATTCTTGATTACGATTTCGATTTTATATTTTTCGATTCTAAGAATCGAATAGTCGAGTAAAATAATCGATTATTTCGATTTTAATCGATTCTAATTTAGAAAATCAATAATTTTTATAGTTAGGCTGTGTGCCAAACGGTAGAAAATTGAAAATTCCAACAGATGAAAGTGAAATTCTGACATTTTTCCTGGTGAATCCAAATGTCAGAATTTTATATACTTAAAGATGTAGTTCTTAAGGGAATATAAAATGTTTCTTCAAAGTATTAGTTGAAATATTAATATGAAGACATATATAAGAATGTATGCATATCAAATGCAAATAGCCTAGTAGTGGGCAAACACTTTGCATAAATTCTCATTTAAGATGAAATCTTCAATTAAATGCATTTTTATAGTCTCATTATAATTATTATTAGCAAACTAAAATTTTTGATTTTACTTTTATTAATTTTGTCAATATATTTAATAATTTAATTACCAAAACTAAAATTTTACTTTAAGGAACCAATTATTATTACAAACTTCTGATAAGCACCGCTGTATATAAATGATGGATAAAAATATAACTAGTATAAATTTTATCATGAAATTGATAAAATTAGTAATATGCAAATACAAATAAGAAGAAAGATAAGGAAAAAGTCTATATTTGAAGGTTATAAATATAAATATATTTATTTACTGCTGTCTAGTGCGATTATAATAAGCAACAGTTAAATCAATTTTGATGTTTAATCAAAGTAGTCGTACTGTTATTATATTATATTTCAGCTGCTTCGCACATTTATTACATTGGACGCACCCTTACAAATCTAATCGGCGAAGTAGTTTAAAATACGATTAGCTTTAAATGTTGCAAAGAACCGTTAACAAAAGTATTATTGTCTATGCAACATGTGGCGAGAAAACTAAAATCTAATCATATTCGAATGAGATAAAAAGTTCTGTATTTAAAATAATAAAGTACACGCGTATTTATTATTGGAATTACAAAAAGTGGTTTCAAGTCTATGAATAGTCTTTATGTACATACAATAATTATTATATTATATTATATGCATCACATATCTAATAGGATGCAACTTGTACATTAACAGTTTCAAGTCAGTGTGCCTGGTGGCAAAGGCAAAACAAATAAACATGAAGACCAATCAACTGGTGATCGTACGACATGGGGAGAGTGAGTGGAATAAGTTGAATCTCTTTTGCGGCTGGCACGATGCCGACTTGAGTGAACAAGGTAAATAAAATACAAAAAAGAAAGTACACATATGTATGTAAGTATGTACGAATACTATCTTATAAACTGTACCATCTTATTTTCTAATTATAAATTACAATAAACTTATTATTTTAAAAGTACACCTAATTCTGTTTTTACACGGTAGATTAGTTCCAGAAAAAAAACCATATAAAAAATAAACCGTGTAAACAGGCACTGATCATCCCCCTAAATTGTATCCACAAAAAGGGAATTCCTTTAATTTGTGATATGAACATACATACATATGTATGTATTTCGCAAAAATGAAATCTGACAAATAAAATGTAAGCCACAAAATTTTTAATCATGTAAAAAATTAAAAATTCTTTTATTTTCAAACCGTGTAAAAAACCACCGTGTAGAAACGGAATTAAGTGTATAGTTACTTTATCTCTGATTTTTTTTTTCACTCATATTTATGTATTTGCAAAATGTTTAAAATCCGCTTACTGGTTTTGTTGAGTAGAATACATCCGTATGAGGCAATCGGGTTTTTTCTTCCAAAAAATTACCCCTCCTTGTAATTTGCCTGAATACATGATACAAGTACGAAAGGGCTAAATTTTGGTTTAACCGAACATTCTATACTCTCTCAATTTGCAAAGTTTAGGTATACCAAAACATTATATTAAACAAGTGAAGAAAAGCTAAGTTCGGGTGTAACCGAACATTTCATAGTCTTGCAACTTGGCAGGATCAAAGCTGGGGAAATACCTTATGCACAACAAGACAGAAAATCACGCTCTTTCCATTTCATTAAGATAACTCACATATCGAACAATATAAGCGGTATTAAGTCAGCCGCAAGTTTGAAAATCTTTCTATTAGATATAAAGAGGTTAAGGCAATTAGTGTTCCGATTCAAGGCATTTTCAAAATACAGACATACTACTATCAGAAAGGAATTCTCTCCGAATTTCTATAATATATCTCACAGACGACCGGTATTTTCAATAAAAAGTGCACAATAAAAACCGGCGTCCACATATTCGATGATTTCGCCCAGTTTTATACCGTTATAATAATTGCTGCTTTATTTGTATACCGGAAAGTGAAAGAATCAGATCGAATTTAAAATTGTTTTATTTGGGAAGTAGGCGCGATTGCAGTCCGCTTATTTTCGCACTGCAACATAAAATTGCTAAAAGAATATTATGTACCGAATTTGATTGAAATCGGTCGAGCAGGTCCCGAGATATGTGATTTCACCTAAAAGTGGGCGGTACCATGCCCATCGTCCAATTTTAACACCGGCTACTCTTGTGCCATTCCGGATGTGAAATTTAATGTCTATTATGTAGTTAATATATGTTATGGATTTAGTTATTGATTTATCGCACTTTAAGTAGTTTTTAAAAAAACCGTTATATGAGAAGTGACCCCGTTCACTTATTTTCACACTGACGTAAGAAGTGTTAAAAAAAATTTGTCTTGTACAAATTTGGGGGATATAACTTTGATGGTTTGGATGAAATGACTCCGCCTCTAGGCCACGTCCTGTTTTTAAAGATTTTGAATACACAGATGAATATTGTTCGAAATGTGTATTCTCTTTTACACAATTATGTTAATGTTTGTATTTCTCATGAAATATACATAATACAATAATATATGAACGTTTCGACACTACTACGGATTGGACATGGATTTTTTGTTTTGGCCACAACCAATTGAATAATGTTTTTAGGAGCCTAGAGTGTAGTTTAAGCCAAAAAAATCGAGTTTTCCTAGACTGGCCTACTTCTTAAATCACCCGACTATGTAATATAAGTGGTACGAGTGTACTGTTATTTTAATACTCAACATCTGTCTTTCTCTTCTACTCTGCCGTAGGTGCCAAGGATGCAATTAACACATCTGCAGTAGCGTTGCGTGAAAGTAATTTAAAATTTGACATTGCATATTCCTCGGCATTAATGCGCGCGCGACAATCTCTCAGTATCATACTGAAAGAATTGAATCTCTGTGATCTAGAAGTCGTTAGTGATTGGCATTTGAACGAGCGACACTATGGAAATCTGACAGGTTACAACAAACGCGATATGGCCAACAAATATGGGGAGGAGCAAGTAAGTTCAAGATCGAAAAATAAAATATTAATTACTCAAATTTTCTGTCGAATCTCAATGGCTTTAACACTATGTTACACGTAGGAAATATCACTAAGTAAAACCCTAGACCGTTATTGTGTTTCCTTTTTTCACACTCTGCGAAGAAATAGTTCAGATCGAATAACTATATGAAGGGTATTATTCGGCTTCGGTGCTGCCGAATGTAACGAATTTTCTTGTTTTTATTTTAAACGTATTAACTCTATAACTTTACGAATGAATTTCACAAAATAACAATGCAAAATAATTACTTATAGGTGCAGTCGTGGCGACGTAAATACGATGTCCTCCCACCGCCTATCACCCCAGACAATCCCTACTATCATTCCATACGCAATAATCCGAGTTTCAAAAATATACCAGCATCAGATTTCCCAGACACCGAGTCACTGAAGGTCCTAATGCAACGCGTTATACCGTACTTTGAGAATGTTATATTCAAGCAGGTGCTTGCTGGCAAACGAGTTCTCATCATAGCACATGGTACAGTGGCACGTGCCCTGATCAAACACATCGATAGTAAGTACGACAGTTATTGTAATTATTTTATAAGGACACAGCTCGATATTTTATTAATTAATATTATTTTATTTTATGTATGAATATGCACGTGTACATATGTGTTTCTAACTTATCAGGTTGTACGTATGTTTATATATAATTGCAGAAGTATCGGATGAGAATATTTCTACAGTGAATGTACCAAATAGTATACCCTGCTTATTTGAATTTAATACGGAAACAGGGGAAAAAGTTGGCATAACTACATTCTTGGCAGATGAAAACTTCTTGAACGAACAGATACAAAAGACCGCTTCGATTGGGGAGTCAAACAAATGAAAATGTATATAATTTTTCAAAACTACAAACCTCTCGAACCCAAATAAATGTGTGTATTTACAATATTTTATGAAAAAAAGGCAAAATAGGCTATTTAGGTTAATGTTAATTTGTATTGTAATTATAACTGTTTGTGTATCTATCTATTGTATATATTGTATGTGTATAAATATATTTTTATTGTATACTGTGTAAATTTAAGTGATTTGTGAACGTACAATAAATATTGCTGTATCTTTTATAAAAAAAAATAGAAATAAATACTTTAATTATTGAATTTGAACTTAGCAGTAATTCCAATTATGGCCCTTCCATGTTGTCAAATATTTAGAGAACAATTATTGTCTGGTCCAAAGTTTTATTTCTCTTGAAGTCAACAAGACCGCATTGAGTAGATAACAAACGATTAACACTGAAAGATTAAACATTAAGTCCCACTAAACCGATTTCAAGCAGACAAATATTTCAACAATATTTTGCCATACGCAAATCTAGTAAATATTCAAATTTATTCTTAACTTCAGATGTCATGGAACAAGCAAAAAATTATATTGAACTTTAAATGTATTGATTCTTGAGGAACTTTACGATTTCAAGTTTATGCTCTCACACCGAGGATAATACTTGTATTTTGACAGCTATTCCCACTTTCCACAAACATAAATAGCTATTTCTTATATTTGATCAATAAACGTGGACATTATATATAAAATATAAATATCATAGAAATTATTCATTTCATCGAATTTTATTTCGATAATTATATATTTTTTTCAACATCTAAATATTTGATCACGCTGCAATACCCGGCTGATCTTCCTCTCGTCGAGACTGTCTGATGCAAACACCGATTTTTAAATCTCTCGTCGAATATTAATGAACTATAAAGTAAAAATTGTTAATGACACAAAATTTTATGAACCTATAAAGAGTTAAGAAAGTAATAACATTTTAGTTAGGATAAAGTAGCAATTTCATTCTTGAAAATCCACAAGACATATTTTTTGGATTTAAAAACATCAACCAAAACTTAGTCCATTTGTTATGGGTCTGGACTACGATCTGATCAGCTAATATAACGCATTATGTTATTTTAAAAAGTTGCCTCATTTTAACAAAATACAACAGTTGACGGCCTCATTAACATTCCTTAACACAAGACCCACAGGAGGTTTTATTAAATCAATTTAAGCTTCGAGTTAGTTTAATAATTTGAATGCTAAAGAGGCTCTAACATTTCGTTAGAGATCTAAAATGTCGTAAGAAGAATTAATTATAATTATACATTTGTAAATTAGTAAAGGGAATGCGGCTTACAGATATGTATTGGCTACTTTTTTGAAGCTCTAATCCACATTTATACACACTGATTTTATGGAATATCTTAAATCATAGATCAAGGTAAATAATTTATGTAAGCAAAAAAATCATAATAGTACTCGCCTCTGCCTAAGGCACGTTGGATACCGCTGAATGGCTATATAGTGATGATGAATTGTTATAGTGATTTACGACTGGCTGCGGAAGCAATAGAAGTTCTAGTGTCTTACTAGTGTAAATTTACTGTCGAATATATATTTTAATACTATTCAGTCGTTCACTAAGTAATTTCGTTTGATGACAACAGTCGATCTCATTGAATTTTTCGCAGCCAACTTAACCGCTTTACCGATATATAGTAAGGACGCTTTTTGGAATAGTTTTTGTTTGGTGCCATATCGAAGATAGAAGATCGAAAACAGCATTTTCGGCATATTTTACTGTTTTACTATCAAACAAAGCGAAATTATGTGATGTATACGGAGAAGATGGTTGGCCAATGCCAAAATTGATTTGCAAAATTTCGTCCGGCGATTCCGATTTTGAGGATGCACCAAGTCCCGGAAGGCCTCTTGAAGCCGATGTGGATAAAATAAAGTTTTTGGTAGATACAAATCGTCTAATAACAACTCAGAGATTGCTGAAAGATTAAATTGTGTCAAACGACCGTTCACGTTCACAAGCACAAAAACGACGCAATAATAATAAGAAGGGATAATACGACTCACCAGTGTTCACAATATATTAGAACAGTTTGTATTAATTAATGGCGATGTAAAGGTCTACAACTTTTGAGTTTCTTTCGATTACCTCATATATTTCTATAAGAAGAAGAAAAATTACCAGAGGTTTGATATTACTTGACCTATTACCAGTATTAACGAAATTATTTACTAGAACTTTTGCTCTATGTACTGGCTACTGGGTTCGCACCTTATCAAAGAGACTTGTGAGCAGTAATGCTATCTCTCGTTATTTCCCCAAAAAGAAGACTGTATACCATATGTATACATTTTCTCATCATACACCTGAATTCGCAAGAAAAGAGAGCCATTCATTCATAAACTTTTTTGTAAACACAATAAAGTAAACAATTCAAGCGATTGAAATAACGAAAGCAAACATAGCAACGCTAAATGTCACACACAAAACGAATTGCCAAGGAGAAGCAGACATGTCATGACAACAATATCAACAATGTTACATACATATCTATCAACGTTGCCATTTTGGTCCGATCGGACTAAAAAATATTCATAATAGGAACCTGCTCAATGTGTGAAAATGAGAGATCCCACTTAAATGGAAGCTGTGAAGTAAGGATTGAGAATGACAAGAATTTGATATATTCGCGCATTTCTTTAATTTCAGGCATCAAATTAAAGGACAAATTGCAAGTAAATACTTCAGTTTTAATAATTGTTTATATTATATTTTTAACTTATTTTTAGGTATAACAATAAAGTACCTAAAACTTCCGCAGTAAGCGAATAAAATGATATCGACATCAGGTAAAGAAAACTTAAACTTTTACGGCATGTCAATTCATAGTTTGAACATGTTTTTGCTATTGTAGCGGTTATCTAATCCCCGCTTAGGTGGAAAGGTTCAAGTTAGGTGTCAGCGAAGGCCAAGGAAACGTGGGGTGTCGTCAGGGTCGGACTAGGAGAGGATTGTTAGATGAATAAGATTTCTTTGTCCTTTCCCCAGAAGCTGCTGGCTAGCGATTTGAGGATTTTGTTGGGGTTCTGTACTTTGGCATTAAATGCGGTCGTATATCGAGTAAAGGAGTACAAGCTGTCAATTGTAACGTCTAAAATCTTAGGATCGGAATTTTAATACCATCGGCTTTGAAATTAAGAACCTGTCTGTACTCCTTCGTCCAGTTCGTGAATATGATCGCTATGAATTTAGTGCGGGAGAGTGTCAGGCTCCTTTCGAACACATGCCATCGATTACATTGCCTGACGTCAATAGCATACTATCATCTGCAGACGAGGTGACGGAAATCCCCTCTGGAAGCGGGGAGAGGACACCACCTTGAGGAACCCACTGTTTAATTGTTCTTAACTTAGAATTTTGATCTCGAAACAGTACGAATGATTGCCGTCCACTTAGATAGTTCTTGACAACTTGACAATCTTTTATAGTGAAGAATGCCTGACTACCCTTTAAAGCGAAAGACTCGTAGAGAGTGGTTAAAAATATTCGATTGGCTTGAAGAGACGGAAGGATGTGCATGTAGCTAAATTTTATTGACTTATAAGCTTTATTGGTATGTACATATTTTTCCGAAAGTGAAGTGAAATAAAACCCAATGTTTTGATAATAAGAAATTTGGTAGTTTTGCAAAAGATTTAGTAGGCATTTTGGTATTCAAAGATCTTATCAAGTGGCAACACTGATATGCATATATAGAATCGCGCAGGCAAGAGTGGGTATGTATCTCACAGATACCAAATATAAAGGTCGAAATGCTTTTTCGCATTCGTTTTCTCATTGAGATGTTTCACTTAGTTTGTTTAGGAAAGCTGAATTGAATTAGAGTAATGTTCCATAGCGCGCTGGTGCTCCCGGCTATAAAAAAATTAAATAAATAAATGACAAAACCAAAAGTCAAGGAAACGGCGTTTACAGTACGGTGATAAAAATCACGTTATAAAAAATTAATTGAAATCTAAATAGTAAACCAAAAGTAACTTCGTAACGCTTTAAATATGTATGGACATGAGTATATTTGCGGCGTTATATTAACGCATAAAAGTTGGAATAAGAGTTAAGCAATCGTCAACTGACGCATTTGCTTGAATTCATCGGGATCTAACTTTCTGATTTTTACTGAATTCGTGTTGTGTGTGATGCATAAAAAAATTAATTAATTTTCAAATAAATTGAAGCAGTTACAAACGGTGAATTATTATTGGCATAGAAAGAAAAGGAAATTTCACAAATTCGCAATGAATGTGTAGAAAGAAGACTGAAGTAACAGAGCAGTCAGTGGGAAAAATGTGCGTATATAGTAAGTAAAGACATATAAATAGATAGTTACATACATATGTGCATAAATACAATCATGTGCAGAAATATGCGTACGAAAATATAACATGTGAACGCCAGCTAAGAGCTAAGGCAGTCCATGCATAACTACAAGCTAATAAGTGAAAAACAACAAAAATAAGAAATAAAAAACAAAATATTAAATGTGGTTTGTTGACTGTAGATCTCTGACAGATGGGCACTCGGGCGGTCAATCTTCTGACACATCTGCATAGGAGAGTGATACGGTTTTGAAATCATAATATAAAGCGGAGATAAACATCTCAAGCCATTATCTAATTCAGCAACTAATTGAATATATTCACGAGCACAATAACAACAAATTGAACGCATTCACCAGCAATCAAAGCAGCAGCAACGGCAACTACAATTACAACGAAAACTAAAATACATAAATAGATATGTACATACATATGCGAATAGGTTGTATCAGCGAAGACAGCAACGGCAATCTGTAGGGGCATTATTGTCCCAACGTGATCAGATGACACAAATAGCATTCAAACTTCCATAAATATGCAATTAGAGTTTGAACGTCGATCAAATTAAAATGGATTTTCATATCAGTACATATGTACATATGAACCAAATGAAAATACCAAGGTGTGCCAATTTAATCTAGAGGTTTTCAACGTTTGATGGACAGAAACATATTACAGCTGCATTAACATTTAATGTGAAAATCGCAAGTACGCAACGGCTAAAAGGAAATTCAGAAAAATCGATTTCACATTGTTCAACATACGAACAACAAAAGAAACACAAAAAGGCCAAAAACTTAAGGAAAGCAGTCATAAAGATGGGGTTGTGCTCACGAAAATTGCATAGAACTAAAATATCGGCGAAAACAAAATCGAAACATGATTACAGCAGAAAACGCAGGTAAGTAATTCAAGAATTTATGATACATTCTGTGATTAAATTGTTTACAAAGCGCTGTGCTAATCTCCCGCACACCGGGTGCAGCTGACCTTTGCGGAAGTTCAGCTTACCTGAGCTGTGACTGTTTTACCAGTGTTAACTTGTCGTTATTTGCTGTCATAAATGGTGTTGAATTTCGTAGCGAAATTACTGACTATGAAATACGGTCACAGCTTGCATTTACAGTCGCGTCATTATTTATGGTTTTATCTTATTTTATTGGTACATATCTTATATACTTATAAATATAGTTTGTTGGAGCGGCTACATAAATAAGTCCCTACAAATGATGCTGCCTAGTTATTGTCGAATACGTATGTATAGTTTTTACTTAGGCCTGCCATAAGTTCAGACCGTTATAAAAATTAAACTATAAACTTTTTTTTTTATTAATTTAAAATTAATATTATTTAAAATCGCAAATATTAAATGAGCGATGTACAAAATTTGATTCGAAATGGTCACATTTTGCTATTGCACAAGCCTCAACGACGATGCTCCAACCAAAGATTTTTTGAGACTCTTCAAATTTCTGTGGGGTATTCGCCAAGCCAGCAGACCAGGAGATCGCTACAACCAAAAAATATGTGCACTTGTCTTAGAATACTAACCTTAACTAGAATCTAAGCTCCAATGAGGTAGTTAACATCATTAGAAATGGTTGTTGCCCAATGAAAATTTACCAAAGGGGCCAAAAATGTAATAATCGGCCGACAGGGTTTTCCAGTATTTTATGAAATTCTCATGGAATTATTTCCATCGACTACCAAAAAAATCAATAAATAAAATAATGAAGAAATTGTTGTGCTGTTGATTACAATTTCGCGCGTTCCATTTTCCAGGAGTTATTTTATTCATATAGATATATTTATTCATATTCAATTCCTTCATGTATGTCAAACTTCTGGGTCTTATTGAAATTACAATATTTAGTAACTACGGTTCGTTTGAGCATGACTTCAACAGCAATCCTATACAGCTCAGGTCAGGGTCTAATATACACATATTTTTAGTCTAAAAAGTTTTAGTGCATGTTTGATGTAAAGACATTAATACGCAGGCATCCCATCTACATATAAAATAAATTTGAATATAGTGAGCATCTCAGATGAAGATACATTCATAACGTCTTCCGGAATGTATGTGTATTCATATATCTGGAAATATTCCGGAACTTTAATAAACAAACACAAGCATGTACATGTTTGAAGAAAATTAAATATATTTGTATGTATGTATACAAACTCGTTTGTATAAAAACATGCACTTTGAATAAATGTTCTTTCGGATTTTGTGCGGAAAGATTTACGGAAGCTAATTAGCAGGCTTACCGGCACAAATGAAAACTGGATGCAAACATCTATGTATCCGACAGATATGTGTACGGATGTATGTAACATACATATTATATACAAGTAATAAACAGCTAAGCTGAAGTGAAATTACCTTATGTAATGCATCATATCAAATTAGACGATGGGCTTGGCACCGCCCATTTTGCGGTGAAATCACATATCTCGGGACCTGCTCAAACGATTTTAACCAAATTCGGTATTCTAACATCCCTATGTTACAGAGCGAAAATAGAGAAAATCGGACATAGATCTTCCCATATAACATGATTTTAAACTCCATCTGATTCTTTCACATTCCACTATACAATAAAGCACCAATAATATAACATATATGACCTTTGAAGTGAAATCGAACTAAAACTGTTCAAGCTCTTGTAAGCAAGGTACTGAATATGTGGACCCCCGTGCATATAATATGTATGTCTGAATGTCCATATACCTAATATTAAGATTTTTTAATGCCAAGGTGTTAGAAAGTTAAGAAGGATTCTTTCAAAACATTCAAAGTTAATCTAAATAGTTTGCGCCATTGCCCTGCTTTGTGACTAATTATACCTTTGGAACATATATAGAACTTGTCATTATGCTGGCACTTAAATAACATGTACCATACATACATATATTTCAATTTTTGCTTCAGTCGTTCATTTAAAACGCATTAACACTCGTGTTTAGCAGATAACACAGCAGTACAAGTTAAAACCCTGCTGGAAGAAAATTGATTTTAATTAGCAAACCTAGCTTAATGTTAGTAGCACTCACTAATTAAAATAACAAAAATATTTACATATACAAATATTTTTATTTCTGTAAAAAGATAAATACATAGATAATTGTGAGTACCTTATATATACATACATACGAGTACATTACTAAAATCATATTTGTATACCCGGTCAGACTCGAAAGTTTGTTCGCTAATTTTTTTCATGTCCGATTCATTTGCGAGTTGCGTTGAAAAGCATTTGACGATGATTATTATCCCTTAAGTGCACGCGATTTCAAATATATGGAAATTATTAACATATATATCTTCAAGATAGTCAGGAAATTTCTTGTACTCCGCCGTTCTTGTTGCAAATATTACACAGAAAGAAAATAAGACAACAATTAGAGAGTCGTTTCATTGAAGAGTCATAATTTGTGCAGTGAAGAAGTGTATGTGTTGTGAAGGTTTTTATTTTCATCATGGTAAATTATTATATTAGTAAAGTATTTTCGAAGCAAATTGTTAAGAAGACTGGAACTCAAAACTTTAAGTGTTGTTGTTTTTAAACCACACAATAAAACACAAATAAAAGGTCACATAAATAAAATATGTAATAATTTAAGGTACTGAAATTCTTTTTTATTAAATAAAAAAGTTGTTGAGGTGATAAAAATGGATTTCGCCGAGGTTCCCGCAGACAAGCAAGAAATTAACTCGAAATCAGCGAAGACGAATATACGAGTACATATTTTTAATTTTATAAATTATGAACAACCCTTAAATGAGTATAAGGCTACTATACTATGTGTAACATATTTCGAGAATATAAAAATTAGCAGATATTTCAAAATATTTTGCATATATTTACTCCTTAAAAATTGCAAAAGCGCTATATGCTCTGTTTCACCCGATCCCAATACTTCCTTACTTATTTTAATATACTTATAATTAACTTGTATTTATGTGAAAAGTCCCCATAACTCCAAGTTAACTAGAACATTATTCTTCTCACCTCGTGACAATTCCATTAACAGTCATAAAAGATTGAGGAGCTGAGTATCATTTAGCTCAAGTGTGGCTATTATTAGCGTGTACATTTACGTATATTTTAGACATGTATGTATAGTATGTACATACAAATATGATTACTCGGGAGGCGTTAAAATTATATACACCTATATAAATTGGTGCTTATTAAAAGGGTGGAGTATCATACAAATACATATAGTTACAGTTTACAGTAAAATTTGCTCATTTGTGTGTCTAGTGCAAAATACCGCTATGTTTTGCTGCAATTAAGTCACCTACTTAATTTCAACACCCTAATAAGGATATATTAAGTTTTCCACGAAGTTTATATTGTAACACTCAGAATGAAACCTCAGAGACCCTATAAAATATAATGAGGTGGGTTCAAAAAATAATGGGAATTTCCGTTTTTAGAAAAAATATTATTTATTCTTTCGTCTACATTAATATTGTCGTATTCAAAATAGTCCCCATTCGATATTATATACTTATGCCAGCGCTTCTTCCAATCGTCGAAACACTTCTTAAACTCGATTTTTGGGATAGCCTTTAGCTCTTTCAACGATGCGCTTTAAATGTTTGTAAAACAACGGCTCTTTAATGTTCTCTTTATTTTTGAAAATAGTAAAAAGTCACACAGAACTATGTCTGGCGAATATTGTTCTTGGTCAATAATTCACGAACAAATTCTTTGCCACATTTCAAACGAAAATCGCCAAGCTCATAATAACACGTCTAACAGACAAAGTAAGCAATAAATACAGCTGAAAATTTTGTCATACTTCAGGAGCATGTATAAAGTAATAAATTAGCTTTTTAATTAAAAGCAGGCTACTGGAAAATGAAATATCTGAATAATCGGTTGTATGGGAGATATATGATATAGTTGTCTGATCTGGCCGATTTCGACAAATGACGAAGTTTGTTCTGCATCACGATAATGCACCAAATCACACATCAATGCTTATTTGTGATTTTTTGGTTAAAAACAAAACAGTAATCATGCCTCAACCACCGTATTCACCAAATTTGGTTCCCTACGACTTTTGCCTCATCCCAAGCAAAAAAATAAACCAATGAAAGGAAAGGATTTTGCCACAATTGATGAGATCAAGTCAGAATTGAAGAAAGATCTGATGGCCTTCCCCAAAACGCATTTCAAAAGTGCTTCGAGGGTTGGAAAAAGCGTTGGCACAAGTGTATTATAATCCGTGGGGGATAACTTTGAATGGCACAAAATAGATATTGATGAATAAATAAGTATGTTCCTTCCGTTCCTTCCGTTCCTTTCTCTATCCTCAATATTCTCTATTTCCGAATTTCTGTCTTTCCACCTGTATTTAAATCGTACAGTTTGGTCAAAATGTGTGATATTTTATTAAATTAAATTAAGTTTGCTTAAAAATTATGTGGTTTAGCACAGAATTAATAGATTGGAATTGGTCTAAACCTCATATCCCTAATATAATGAATTCCGATCCCCTGGTATGAGTATGAGATATATGCATGTTATATTACATAGATATATCTCATTTGAAGGTGTTTTTATATTAATATAATTTTAGCTGACGCGAACTAATATAATAAAATAATAAATAAAACTAAGTCTAAGTGTATGGCCTTATATTCTATTATTTCTGGGTAGTATAACACGAGTTGTGTTATTTTCATTTCTAGATTAAATAAATTTCAACTCAAATATTTTGTCAAAGCAATTAAAAAAGCACTTGTTTCAACAGCGGACCACGAAGAGAAGTTAGAAAGAGATGACAAAAATATAAAGATATATGCACTTCTCAGTTACTACTATCAAAAAATTTACACATACGACCTTTTCGCCCAAATTTTAAATCCATCTCTTACTGTCTTCCTAATCTTTATCGTAGTACCAGACTTTAACGTACTTAGGTTGGTACACTCGCATATAGGAGCAAGAAATTTAGAGGTTATGACAACTTAGTCTTATTCCTGTATGCCTTCACTTAAAGAAGTGTTTAACACCGTTACTATTAACTATTTTAAATAATAATCGTAGTAATAATGTTTCCCCTTTTTTCACAGACATGAGTACGCTGATTGCTAAGTATTTTAGGAACTTATTGTTGAAGTGTAATTAACCGCCATAGAAACAGCAGCAAACGCAAAGACAGTTGCTGCGCCATCAAAAATGAGGGGTAAGTTATTTCTTGAGATTTTTTTATTCACAAGGCCACTAGCTATTTTACCTTGGTGGCTTAAGAGGTGTTTTATAATTGTTTTTTTTCTTTCGCCCATTCAATCAAATATGTAGTTCGTAAAATACCCTTACCGTTGCCCAACACGGGGCTGATGCATCGAAAAAGGAACACCTATTACATACGTGTAATTATCGGTGTAGCTCTTATCGTATTCGTACTAATGCAGTTACACGTCTTTAATTACAGTAAGTACTTAATTTATGGACATATGTTTTCTTTTATATTACAAACACGGGTTCTTATTCCTTTCCTACAATACATTCAAAAAGTTCGCTGTAGTTCAGGAAAACTGTTTCTTTTAGATTATCAACATAAATCTGAATTTTTTATTTCAACTAAAAATATACAAATTAGATTAATTTTCATATTTAAGCATACAAATGAGAAGGTGTTCATATGACTGCATGTGGTTATAGAGTTGACATTTTTGAGATAAACTTTAGAGCAATTAAATTATGCAATTGTTAATACAATAAAATTCGTAATGACATAAAATATAAAGTACAATAAAGTAAAAATTTTCAACGTATTCATACGAAAAACAAATTCACAAATTTCTATAGGCAACTAATCTTGAGTATATCTCCGATTTTGATTGCTCTGTATACTTTACCAAGGAGGGTAGTTAAACATAATATAAACAAGAAGGGCGACTGGAAATTCAGTTGCCTATTGTAAAGTTGAATCCGGTTGCCATGCTAATTGCAAATAGCAGAATGATTACTCAACGAAGTAGAAATGTGATTATAAAATTGTTGAAAAGTGGTCGAAATTTATTTCATGTTCGTTCGCTGTTAAATGTACATACTTGTATACATAAGCTAGTGCAGAAGCCTTTGAAAATGATAAAGAAAGAAAGACATTCATAGTAGATTGAAATACATCGGAAACGAAAGATAAGACTACAAGTCCGATAGAAAAAAGTTATATGGCACTGTTGTAAATAGTTAATGAAAAGATCTATAACTTATAAAGACTTTTTTCACATAAACCTCAAGTGTTTATGTGAAAAAGAAGATAAAAATAAAAACCCCAAAAACTTTATGTTATATGAGTTTTTCACATAAATTTTGAGGTTACATGAAAAAAGTTTATGTACAAAATTTATAGATCATTTCATTACCTACAACCATGTCATATAACTTTTCTTGAAGGACTCGTAGTTTTGCCGGAAATCGAAATTAGAAGTTTCTAACCCTTAAAAATTTAACCACGACGACCTCCTTAAATGTTTGTTATTTTACGTTTTCACAAATTATCTCCCCTGGTCTATAAAGTATATGAATTGGTTTATTATTTGAAATGAATAATTTTTATAATAAAGATAGTAAATGTTTTCGTATATTTCACATTTTCGCACACCAGCGGATTCTCGTGAAATGTCGATGACTGGTGAACTAACAAATGATTCAATCGACGCGATGCTCTCCATGGTGCCCTCTGTGCTGCATAAGTTCTTAACGCCCAAATCTAGAAATCAAACAGCCGCAGCTCACAGTAAGTTAGCAAAGAAAGTTGCTTGTCGTATACATAACCTATGTATTCCTCTTATTCTCGTTTTTTTTTTTCTTAATCACAGTGCAGCACAATAGTACCAGTGGTAGCAGATATAACGGCTCCTATACGGATTACTATCATCCGCCAAATATTTCGGAGATAAAGCAACAAATCGCGAAATACAATGAACTGCAAATAGTTTTAAATGAGGACACTTATGGTCCACTACAAAATGATTCTGTGATAATCGTAGTACAGGTAAAAATTATTAAAGATTATTTATATAAATATAGAGTTGGAACCTTCAGGGCATACAAATATTTATGGATTAGTGTTTGCGTCAAGCATAAAAAGGGATTGCAGGTATAAATAAATGCATTTTTTTTCCAACTCAGGTGCATACACGTATAACTTATCTACGCCATTTGATCGTTAGTCTGGCGCAGGCTAAAGATATTTCCAAAACTCTATTAATATTCTCCCACGACTATTATGATGATGACATCAATGATTTGGTGCAAACAATCGACTTTTGTAAAGTGATACAGGTAACAAAATTTCCCTATCAAATAAGAACTAAAAAGCATAGTTGGTTAGATATTTTTAACATAAGTTTTTTTTTTATGAATTACGCAGATATTTTATCCCTACTCAATACAAACACATCCGAATGAGTTTCCCGGCGTCGATCCAAACGATTGTCCGCGGGATATGAAAAAGGATCAGTGAGTGTCAAAATTTGTGCAAACTAACATTTTTATATATCCACGCTATTTTCTTAGTAATATTATCACCTTCTTCATAAATAGAGCTATAATACGTAAGTGCAATAATGCGCTATATCCCGATCTATACGGGCATTATCGAGAAGCGAAATTCACACAGACCAAACATCATTGGTGGTGGAAGGCGAATCGTGTGTTCGATCAATTAGATGTGACCCGTTATCATACTGGTCAGTTGCTTTTTATATTAAAATATAAAAATTTAAATAAGAAGTATTAATGTTTATAGGTCTGGTTTTGTTCCTAGAGGAAGATCATTATGTAGCCGAAGATTTTCTTTATCTGCTCGAAATGATGCAGTCATCAGTTGGCAGTCTATGTCCGCAGTGCGATATACTCTCATTGGGCACATATTTAAAAACATTCAATTACTACACCTATAACAGCAAAGTAAGTCCCATATAAAAATTATATAATATACATATTTTGACAAAAAAAAAATCTCTAATTGCTGAAACTTATTTTGTATATTACAAGGGTGCTTAACAATGATTTTTGCCAAAGACTACTTAGATATTAACATAATAAAAACAACATAACGCTACAAATTGTTACTTTCGAACTGCTTTTGTGCTCATTAACCTATTTCTCTCTTTTTCTCTCTTTTTTACTGTTACAAACATATTTTCGTTTAAAATTCCTTCGCATCACTGTGCTACAAAATTGTCCCAATTCATTTGTTTATTTTTATTTATTGAACCATTTAATTTATGGTAATGTTCTTTAATGGCGACAGACTAATAAGAAATCCCCTAGCAGCCAATATGCTTCCTCGCTGCTCACTTCCAGCAATTTATTAGGATATAATCGCAATAAAAATAGAAATTCACTGCAAATGTCATCGCACGCATCGTCATCGTCATCGTCCACCTCAGCTGCTAATAGTTTTAATAAAAAGTATTTTAACGAAAATAATAAAAACAAAGTGTATGTGGGTGATACAGTCACCAACACCAACGCACAAATCACTAACAACCACAATACCATAACCACTTCCACCACAACCACAACAGATAAAAGCGCCGCACAGCAATCGTGGAGTTATCACGTGCTACCATCACTATATTCTATCTATCAGAAGGTAGTTAAGCTAATAAAAATAGTTACAAATTAACCTAGCTCGTATATGTAACTCCGTTCATTTATTTATTGTACACTCGCAGTCGTCGTATTCAAGTGCATAACTAAATTGCTTATTTCAGTAATCGATATTGCTCATTTGTAATTTAATATTCGTACTGCATTTTTTTTGTTTTCTTTTGATGTGTACGTTTATTTATCTGGAAATAATTAGTAAGTTTGTGTTGGCGTGCGTGCTTGTCTTGCGTATTGTCTTATCAGTTTTATTTATGTAACCATAGATTTGGATTGATATTATATTTATAATAATTGTACAAGTTCCTTTATACATCTGTTTGTTGGTTGCACGCAATATAACAATTGTCATGGTTTAGGTCGTAGTGTTTTTGTAACATACATTTAAAAAGTATTGGATTTGCTATACATCATATTAATTGGCTTCCTTAATATTTAGACGTCATTCATTAACACATTTTACCCAAAGTGAAAAAGCATTCCAAGAGATCCAAAAAGTACCTGAAGATAAAAAAATTAAAACATTAATTTAATTTTCTTTTAACCAAACCAATTATTTTTAAATCTAACGAGATCCATAAAAACTAAAAAAATCTTGGAACTGCACTTGCAACAAACTCTTCATTATTTATTTGTTCAAAATCCACATAAAAAAGTGTTCGACATTTTCGTATTTCTAATTTATATTTAAAAAAAAAACTTTAAAACGTAGTTATAACTATATCAAACAGAGAGCGTTTTGCTAGATCTTTCTAACCACGCTGTTTGATCTACGTCATAAAGAAACGCATTTTTTTATGAATATTTTAAACTTGATTTTGATTCACCAGTTTGAATGGCAGATATTCATACTATACAAGCGTATACTATAGCGGTTCGATCTGAAGAATCTATTTAAGACTGTAGCGTTGCCTTGGACAATAAGACTGGTTACAAAATTTTAACTTTTGTTTTGTCACTCATATGATATTTTGAATTTACTAGGACAATTGAATGTGAATGAAGAAAAATTTACACGTCAGTTTTTTTTGTGACATCAAAACATATACCTTCTTAAAAAGTACACACATCAGCTGCATTCATTTAGAGAAATTATTGCTTAATAAGAATAAATAGAACAAATACCTATGATCTTAGTAAATATTTGGCTTCTGGAAGGTCTTTTTTAAGTCTCCAACAATAATCTACTAGCATTCCTGCGCTCCTTGATCGAACCACTCGTCTTGTTCATCACTCACAGCACCCAAATTTCTTCGTAATTTATGGATTCCCAGAAAATTGTTCACAAAACATTTCGAGGCGAGTATTTCCTGATCATTCAGTTTTTCTTCAAAGCTCTTGTGCTTTATAAGTTGCCGTATTTATGGCCCTATAAATATCCTTCTCAAATTTTTATCTCATCGTGCTGACTTAGAACCAGTTCCGAAGAAGAATCCTGATTTTCTCAATTTTGAGGCTTTGGTACAGGCAGTTCGGCACTATGTAGGATGGGTCTGTTGGCCGAAGACAAGTTTGGATACTGGGTAGTGTGTTAAGGCTTGGTTGTAATGCCTTTTGTTTAAGACAAACAAAATAACAATCACTTGGATGATCCTTTGGGTCGGCCCAAATCATTGGGATATCAAACGGCTTACATCTGGGTTCTTGTTTAGCCCAACCTAATAGCAGTATCACACACGTTACATAATATTAATGTGGAACCCAGAATTTATCTTGATTTTAAATCCAAAATAGTCTAAATAACACTTTTTAATTAATGACGTGAAATTTCGCCTGAAATTTAAAAGTTAATTCTCCACAGACATAACAAAAACTGTCGGGGTCGTTAGAACACTTTCGTGGCATATTTACGATATAACAAACGTACGGTAAATATGATGTAAATTAGTCGAATGCAATAGTTATAGTCGTAAAATTAAGTTATTTAAAAAAAAGAAAAAACGTTAACTTCGATTCCACCGGAGCTATAATACGCTTCTCAAATGCAAAAGATTCCTTACAAGAACTTGATTCCGATCGGTCAGTTTGTATGGCAGCTATATGATATATTTAAACTTTGGTGAGATATTGAAAGATATATAGTTCTTGGCAGTCAATGAGTCGTTCGATTGTATAACTACTACTGCCTGAGTCGTATTTTGAAAATTAAATGAAAAGTCAATGTCAAACTCATCGATTTTTATAGAAAAAAACTTTAATGAAAGTATCACCCTCTAAAGCTAATTGTAGTGTTAAATAAAAGTAAGATTAACTACAAATATTAGGCAATGCTAATATAATATCTATATACCTTAATTTAATTCACGAAACTCCCGTTATATTTGTGCTCACTATATCCATGCAGGCATTAATATAGAATAAATATAATATACAAATAATGTCCTTTTATCATACCGTTATTAATGGATATTTAATTGTTGGTTATTCTACTTTATATACCATATCATTCACTGCATAATTCGATCTAATTCATTCAAACGCTTTTACCTTAGTAATTGTGATAGAAGTCTTTCCTTCGAATTTTCCTATTTATGTGTGTTTGTATGTACCAAAGTGTTATGCACATGTGTGCTTATGTTTAATGATGTGTTTTATACTTGCTAGTAATTTTATCTAATAAAATTAAAATGTGCAACAGATATATGCATATGTTAATATATATTTATGTACTTTAATTGTTTAGGTTGTTTACCGTATGTCCCATATGTCAAAACCACCGACACAAAATAAGTTCCGTGAGGTATCTAATAATTCATATTTTATATTTACAAGTACCTACTTTGCTCTAGCAAAAGATTAGATAGATTTCATTCACTGTAATTTTCGAAAAAATTTAAATACAAACAACTCATAACTATAGCCAACATTTTACTAGATATGTATTATTAACTGCATTAAAACTGACTCATATTAAGGTTCTGTTTACCCTTTCCATAAGTAATTTTTAAGTGTATATCGCTCATTTGCTAGACAGCGTCTTAATCCAAACCAAAAACTCGAGTAAATTATTTTAAAATATTTAAATAGTATGTATACTCGTATATCATGTTGAAAATACTTTTTTTTTTTGAGTTAACATCATATCATCGTCATATGTACATTATATATATAATATATATATATAGATATTATATCAAATAATTTAAAATCCATTGGAACCAATTATTTCCCGAAAAAACATCTTTTGAGTATGACCATGTAGTTTAAACTAGTTTACAAATGCTGCAGCAATAGGATGTTCCGGTTACGTACACCGCTTACGTGATGGGTACTTTGAAAAAGTTCTTAACACATTTACAATAGATATCTAAATTAACATACATCGCTCCATTTAAATGAATCTTAAAATACAGTTTTCATACCAAATTGTGATTCTGCCAAAATGAAAGAAGACTTGGTATTAATTATTGACCGTTAACTAATTTACATTTAGTATTAGTACTGCTAACTATTTTGGTGACGCTATTCGAGAAGATAATAATACGCCTATATTAGAAAGTCATAAATTAGGTATCGAAATTATAGTTTCCTTAATTAATAAAAGAGAACGTTGTAAATATATAATTCCTAAGCTTTTTTCTTTATTAATTTCTTCTTTTTCATCGTGAATTACAGAAAGTGAACTTTAAGGCCGCATGATTCACCTCTTTTATATGTCTTTTTATATAAATTTTGCATTCAATTTCATCGTAATTAGTTAAAGCCTCGTTGAAAATATATATACTTGTATATGTAAAAACATCAAATAAATACATGTAATCACGTACCCGAAGCTCTATAGGCCTAAACATATATAAAGTTACGCTCCTCATATCGATTAAGTGTTTTGAATAATAAACTGAGCTGTTTTTATATTTCTTTCTTCACGAAGGTCGAGGTGATGCCCTGGATAAGCAGTAAGCACAACATGGGTTTTGCTTTCAATCGCAGCACTTGGTCAACAATACGAAAGTGTGCGCAACATTTCTGTTTTTATGATGACTACAATTGGGACTGGTCGCTGCATTATGTGTCCCAGCAGTGTTTGCAGAAGAAACTGCACGCGATGATCGTCAAAGGTCCAAGGGTCTTCCATATTGGCGAATGGTAGGCAGTTATTTAATAAAAATTAATTTAATATACCAAAACATTTATAGCCTTAGATGACATCCACATATTTCCTGCACCAATTACAACTTTGTTTTTGTGTTTTATTTTGCAGCGGTGTCCATCACAAGAAAAAGAATTGTGAATCGAATCAAGTGATAGCGAAGGTGCAACAAGTCTTACGTATAGCTCGTAAGTCCAAGCAGCTTTTCCCACGCAGCTTATCGCTGACGGCGGCGAGTTTAGTGAAGAAAACCAAATTGCGAAAAGGTAACGGCGGGTGGGGCGATCGTCGGGATCACCAATTATGTATGAACATGACGAAATCAATGCATGAAAGTTGAATTCAAACCAAATAACCAGAAGAAACACAGAATTAGCTAAATTTATACACAAACATATATATACACAAAATAATCGCATAGAGTTACCAAAAATTAAACCGTGTGGAACGGTTAGTAAGTTACAGACTTTTTAACTAATTAGATAACTTCTAGAAAAGTTTTTCGGAACACTGTGAGAGAATAAAACTAATTTGAAAGTTAGATTTACTTGGTCGTAGCAATATTCGCATATGTAGATATAATGTTAACTTTATCACGTCACCAAAAATACACATTAATTTTATTTAAGTGGCAACTTTTAAATTTTAATACGATAGTAGGTTTCATACGTAAGAATAACTTTTTCTTTTTAATTTTTTAAACACCACCAATTGAAAATTGTAACGAAAATTGGCAAATGTATCGGTTACTTATAATGACGGTATTAAAGAGAGAGAACTGCTCACTTTCCTGATTCAGTTTATTTAATTTTTTTTAAATATTTCTAGTTATATAAAAATATTTTCTTAAGTAGACAAAAATTTTTTCTTGGAACCGTTTAAGTTTCCAGACACTAAAAATGTTCAAATGCAATATTTTAGAAGCCTTTCATAAAATGTTTGTTTTAAGTTTCTAAACCCTTACTATTTGGAAATATAATGTTTAAGGAATATGCCTCTTTTTAAATACAAAAAATGTTGGAGTTTTATGAGCGAAATTCTAATCTTATTAATTTTAAACTTCATTATTCATTTATTAGTTTGTGTATTTATTATTATTTTCTATTATTACTTATTATTCTTTTTTTCGGAAGAAGAATTGAATAAATATGTAAAAAGAATATTTTTCAGCAAAACACGTCCTGATGCTGCTAAATCACAATAAACTTTTTAACTGCTTTATAAGTATACATTTTTAAAGTCTATCTGTCACTTTACTTTTTGTTTTACTAATAAAAATTTATGAAAAGTTATTTCTTTTTATTTTATATTGTTTCTAACCTAAACTTCTTTTTTGTTTTACTAATATTGTTTATTTTTAGTTAGTTATTTTCATGTTTATGTTATATTTAACAGATCGCACGTTTAATGAAATACAAGTGTAACTCAAAATTTTGATTTTAAGCAACCAGGAAAGAGATCTCTCCTTTTGTTTTACGTACGAAGAAGCTACTTTACTAATAAGTTTTTAACAATATTGTAAGCTTCTTAAATTGTATAACAATTTATTGCAACAACCTATTAGCCAATGACTTAAGTTTGATTCGACATCTATCAACTTCTCGAAACAAAAAATGCGGAGTTATGTTTACCCAAAATAAATTTTATTTAACACTTCCGTAAAATATTAAGCGAGTGATATGTTCTAAAAGTATGTAAATGTATTACTAAAATATGATTTATTCTACAAAACCATAAAACAATGTAAAGTTAATCCACGTATATATTCGATAACATTATGGAAGGCTTGCTAATGTTTTCAATGAACTACGTCATATCTAGATTCAATGCTTTTTGTTGAAATCGCTTCTGAATCAGACTAAAATCACATAAGCCAAGATACAAATTCGCTGTGGTTGCCTACGATCCATCTAGAAGAGTGCTGAAACAAAAAAATAATAATTTATTGATCATACATATATGGAAATAAAATAAACTTACATAATACAATGTTTTTGGGCAGCGGTGCTAATATAAAAATCTATATATATATATATTTTACTTTATTATATAGTACATATAGCATTAATATATTTTAATATACTTTTATTAGATATTATAGTTGTTGTCAGATTTATACAAATATTATTTTTATGCTTTGAAAAAAAGCAAATGGCACATATAAATGTATTCAATTTAATATTTTTTATCAAAATTTTTCATAAACCTACTTTCATGAAAAAATTAAATTGATCGTTATAGACGGAAAATAGTAGCTTGATGATTAAATTTTGGTGCTTGATTTTTAAATTTGGTTCACAACTGTTTCACAGAATTTCTATCCCCTACTAAATTTATAGTCATACATTTTTACATACATACTACACATATGTATTAAGAATGATAGAATACAAGATTACGCCAGCGGCCATGTTGTAACGTAATTCTTGTGAGTTGAGATGAAGAAGCATGTAAATTGTTAACAAAAACGGAAACACTTTTGTTAATTCGAGAAACATACTTAATTTTTTAGTTAATAGTGAAAAAATTTTGTGAAATAAATAGAATAATGTTGCGTGAAATTCCAACAGAAGAATTTCGTCACAACATGGTGGCATAGTGCAATTTGTTTTTGTTTAATTGTCACAGCCTAAACCTAAAAATAACGGTAAATCATTGTAGTAATCTTGTATTCTATCCTTGCTTTTGCATTTTTATACATTATTATTAAATATTGATGACATTTATTTTTTGCTATAGTACGAGTAATAAACTCACATATTTTACATACGACATACTCTATCGTGGATTCAAGATAATATAAGTAAATTGATTAATAACCAAATATTACGTGTAGTTAAATATAAGCTAATATTATGAAATTCCAAACGAAATATCTTGTATGATAAGTGAAGCTCTTTTGGTCTCTAGAGACCCACTAAATGGTGTTATTTATTAGAAAATGGCAATAATATTTGTTTTTATCCATACAAGACAAAAATCTAAAATTTAAAGGTGCATATACTCGTATATTTATATATATAAAGTTTGTACAATACTAATAAGAAATATTTTGATTTGTAAACATTCACACATGATTTTGTGAGCTCGTATGATGACAGCCAGGTTATTTAGGAAAATTCCCAGTGCTGAGGCAAAATAGAGGTTAGGTACAACGTAAGAAAATGCAAAATAGTGGCACTGAAGAAAGTCTAGTCATTTATGTATGTATACATAAATTAATATGTACTGATAAGCATAACGAATAAATAAGAGTGGAGAAACCAATAAAATTAAGCCAAACCCATCTTATTGTCATAAATTAGCTGTGGGCAATAGAAAGTTTAAAGGATTTGGCTAGACATACAAACATACACACAAAGCAATTGCAATGCAAGAACTCACATTATGAATTAGGTTTCCGTCCAGATATAAAAAGTCACATTTACGTTTTGAATTAAACGTGTTCGCAGAAAATGCACATTTCCACTAAACAACCCCGAAGCACTTCATTGCTTTCTTATTTTGATTTTTATTAAATAGGTATGTATGTATATTTTCTTTCGCTAAGCGCAATTTTTTTTCAACAAACTCATTCACCAAATTTTTGTATTCAATTTAGGAAATCGGATTTTGACTAGTCAACATCTCTTCATTAGGGTGTACGCACGGAAACGAAAACGATCAAAACAAACAGACACTAATTTATTAATGTAACATATAATAATTCATTTAAGTATTTATCAATTATTATCTACTAAATGATTAAAGTGATCAGCGAGAGCGAGACTTAGTTGTTAGAGATCATAAACTAACGCAATATTTTTTTACTATACATGAAATTAATATTATAATATACCTATATTATATTAGTGTAAGCAAACTTGTACATTTGTTATCATTTTACCATTATTGTTATGAAAATTTGTTTATTAAAACGTAAAAACGTACAAATAACTACGTATTGCTTATAATATATTTAATTATGAAATTTAAATAAAGGTGTTTTATTTGTTTGAGTTTATTCCACTGCAAGTCGATTGACGGTTAAATCATATATTAATTTGCAGAAGTTTTCTATTAACGTTTCTATGAGCTTCCTAAGGATTAAATTGTCGGTGTAAATGTATTAGATGCAGATTTTTCTTTACAAATAGTTATTGAAGACAAGATACTTGAAACACATTTTCAAAAATCTGAAAAATTATTTCACAAAAAATATACAAGTAAATATTACTGGAAAAGTTCATAAGGCGTTTAAAGATCAATTTTGCAATGTTATTCAGTTATAAACGTTAGCAAATAAATAGTAAGTAGTAAATAGTAATTAAAGTATTAACTCAAAACTCCGCAAAATAGAGTAGCCGACTACCGACTCAGATACCTGCGGTAGATAGTCGATATCTAATCGACTATCATAATACAAATTTTGGTTTGTGGAAGGGCAACTATACTCGTACTATTATAGATATGTAATAGAGGTGTTAGTTTAAATGCTAACTCTTTCAATGTATTGGAGTTTCACTCAATAGTGTATGATGAACTAAATGTAGTTTTATTTCCACGAAGAAACAGTTAGCTAATTATTCATTGAGGTGCAGGAATTCGTCTTAACTTTTGAAGTATTTTAATTTAAAATGAAATCAACACTGTCTATTTATTGGATAATTTTTTACTAAAGACGAAAACTTAAAAGCAAAATTTAGTTAAACTCTTTCAATTTTCAATTAGAACAAATTTTAACCAATTACGTGCTTGATATAAAGAAAAAACCAATTACTGGAAGTCTTTCAAAATATATATATATAAAAAGTTTTAGCTTATATCAGCGAACTTTGAATTACAAAAAAAAATTAAACTTTAAGTTTTTCAAAACCTTTAAAAAAAGATATCTTAAAAGTTATATACCAACAATATTTAAGTACATATTCTGAACAATTTCACCATATAACATTCCCGGAATATAAAATAATTTACGAAAAAATATTTTATACTAACCTCATTAATTAAGAAAAATATTAAATTTATAACATAGTATGCAATTTTTAAATAGCAAAAATTTTTAACTTAGCCAGTGGTTTTTCAGGTTATGTTTAAATATATGTATGTATATCACTCTGTCTCTCTCATTGTACGTTTTAATAGAGTAAAAAACCCGTTGAAAGATAATTATCCGCCAAATAAATCAGACATAAAAAATGTTTTCTGAAATGTACCTAATTAAATGGTTGTATTTTCCAGAAAAAGTTGGAACATATTTTTCGTAACTCAGTGGGACAATTTTTCAATATATTCCAAATAGAAAAATATAACTGATATACATACATAGATTTTCTTAAAAGCAACGTACGTATGTCAAAAGAACTTTAGTGGTGTCAGCGTTAGTGGAGGTATATTCACCGAAAGCTGTGATTTAAAACGTAAAAATTAAACTCTTTATTATCTAATTTCTTAAGGAAATTTTATATGTTAAATTTTGGTCGGACGACCAATTTTCGTAAACAGAAGCTAGCCAAACTTTTCGTTGCTGATTAGTTCCGAAAATTAAGTATTTGCATTAAACGTTCTTTAACATTAAGCAACATTATAAGACAATTTTTATTTTATTTCGGTTTCAATAGGTTTTGTTTGTTCCAAAAAACTTAACAAATGCCATTTGCAAGCATTAAACCACTTTTCGCAAAGTTGATTTTTGTAATATTGGCATCCCTGACTTGTGAGCTATTTACAATAAAAATAAGTCTCCACTTTTTGACAGTGCTTTGTTGTTTCATTTGCCTGTCAGAATCAGTCTGTGAAAAATTGGGAAGGGGTACTTCTAGTTTGGTGAGTTGTGATTGCTTTGACAATAAATTTAGCTATTGAGTAAAATTAATCATTTCTGTTTTGTTATTATCAAGAAAGAAAACAAAAATATATAAGTATAAAATTAAAGGTGTCGTTTTAAATTTGAATCATTAGAAAAGCTACAATATTGTCGGGATTTAAATTAATATAACAATTATGGCAATGATGCTTGGAAAGCAATTTAACCGTCTCTCTGGACCATGCAAAATTGCTCCAGTAATGGTTAATCATTTTTCTACCGGTCCCATCAGAGAAATCACTCATCCATTGCAAAGAAAACCAAAAATTGTTCGTCCGGAGGAGGCAGTGGCCTGCATAAAATCAGGTATGTCCTGCATGTCAATCAAACCATGAAATAATTCAATCGAATACAGGATATATTAAAGCTGTTGTTGGTAGTTTTTATGTTCGGCTGATAACTGGAGCAACCGGAATTATAATTGCTGAATTAAGATTATGTAACCCAACAAATAATATAGTAGAACTTTAGCACCTACTACATACATCACATTAACATTGAAAACGGTCGTATATTAAATTTTATTTAATTTATTTAAAGAGGGCTAGTGTTAAATAAAAGCCTTATCGAGTTAATATATTTAAATTATGCAAATGGCGTAGTACCCCAATTGAAAAATTCGGCGGAAGCAAACGAAAAGAGGCGTACTTATATATATGGTTATAAATATTTGCGTACGTAGCCCACTTTTTTATTTTATTTCTTAGTTGAATTGATATAGCGTTATAGCTGAAAGGTAAAAGTATATAGAAATATTTTGTCCTATTACTATGTAATAGGAATGACCATTTTATTTCCTTATAAACCTTAGCGGCTTTTGATCCTCGCCCTAACTGCGTGCTATCTCCATCGACTATATCACAATTATTTATTTGTTATCTTGGTTACATGTGTGCACAGCCATAAACATATTTTCTTTTTCTTTTTGTCAATTTGACATTTGATTTTGCTTCATTCTTTGATAATTTTGTTGTTATTTCAAAGGTGTAACTGGGATAGCTTCTGTTAACGAAGATTATACAGTGTTTATTATACTATTTAATTCTGCTTTCAGCACTCTAAAGTACATTTGTGTATTATAACAATTTACACGTTCCTACTTGCATAATGGCTATCAGCAAAATGAGATGCCTAAAACTCGATTATCGCATAAAATTGCTGCATCGAATACTCATGATATTACTTATATTTATGTATATACTTAAGTATATATATTTATATGTATAAATACATATGTATATTATATACATTAACGTATTGCTTAGATATAATTAGTATTTTCCATATATTTACTGTAGCTATGCGGTTTATTAGAATTTGCGATAAGAGTAAAAATTATTGCTTACTTTCTCATTTTACCAGTCCATCTATTAAATTCAACCTTTCAAATTCAAACAAGCACACGTTTGTATGTACATATATACATACATAACATGTACATATATATATCCACAATGACGATTTAAACTGCATATACATAATCATTCGTGTGCAGGCCTATCATTTTGTGTGTAGTCTGGCATTCGGTATTATAAAATGCATTGAAATTGTTAAAGAGCAATGTGTGATCAAAAACACACATATGCATATATTTATGTAGTATTTATACATATTTAATCCAGTAACATTAAGACATATGTATTTTAATTTATATTTTAAATGACTACGTAGTTTCAAAAGCTGATGATATTAAAGTTAACAGACTCAAGTACATATGTACATACATAAATAGGTATTATTTTAATGGTAATTAATGGTATAATTAAAGTAAAAAAATTAAAATTAAATGTTAACAAGTAAGAAAAGGCTAAATTTAATATTTTGAGTTGATGTGAAAAACGTCAACCGGAGGTTCGGAATTCATTATATTAAGGAGATGGGGTTTAGATCTAGGCATAGGCCAATTCCATTTTTATTCAGCGCTAAACCACAAAATTTTAAGAAAACTTGTCCACATAATTTCATTCAAATATCACACATTTTGACCAACCTGAAAGGTTTAAATATAGATAGAAAAACGAAAATCAAATTATGGGGTATATTAGGGATAAAAAGAGGGACGGGCTTGAATAAATTTTGACAATGCCAAGATATACTCGAGAACATATTTTGAAGGAATTTTATGTATGATTTATACTCACTGATCAACATTTACGGCATAAAACTTGTCATAAGGTTGCATACTTTAAAGGCCTTATTCATTTTAAAATTGAATTCTATTTGAATTAGGCGTGGTTATAATTCGATTTCCCCCATTTTGATACTGTGACATAGAAATATCAAACGAATGTTATATACCAAATTTGGTTGAAATCGGTCAAGCAGGGCCCGATATATGTGATTTCACCTAAAAGTATGCTGTGCTACGCCCATCGTTCAATTTTGACCGCGGTCCCTATAATGTACGCTCATACGATCTCGGGGATAAAATTTGATGTTTCTGGCGTATTTAGTCATTGATTTATCACGCTTTAATTAGTTTTTAACAGACAGTTAATGGGAAGAGGGCAGGGCTATCATCAGATTTCTATTTTTATGGTGTCAGTTGGGGTGCATAAGGGATTTGTCCTGAACGAATTTAGTTATTTTAGCTTGAATGGTTTGGGATAAATGTACATTAAACCTATTAGAGGGCGGAGCCACGACCATTTTTTCAAATATTTTATCTCATAGGTGATTTCCTGCGATTACCTGTGTCAAACTACAGTTCTTTTAGTGGGCGTGGCAGTGATCCGATTAAAAGTGAAAATGTGATCCTATAAAACTATTATAATCTGTAACATGTTGCAAGAGCATAAAATTGTTAAAGACAAGCCGCGTCCTAAAATCGAAAAAAACAAATGCTCTTCAATGTCAACGATTAAGGATTCTTCACTCTCAAAGTGCGGGTTCACACACGAAGGCTTTTATTGCTCAAACTAGTGGTTTGTGGGCGAGAGGGCGACGAGAAAAAATGAAGGAACCGAGTTGCTCCTGCTCGGACAACACGCTTTGTATTCTTGTTCGTAACAGTTCGCTGCTACACATATTATAGAATATGAATAATAAGGATACAAATATTAAAAAAAGAAACATTTTTCGCGTCAATGATGCGTACAAGAATTTGAGAATATGATATGAGAGGGAATCTTTCAAAATTTGTTGAAACGAGTAGTATTTTATTTAGTTAACTACAAATTCCTCGCATCTCTCATGGATTCCTTATGACAAATACAGCCAGTATTTAATAATCGTTAGCAAAATAGGTGTGTCGACTAAGATAACATATCTATAATATACTCCTACCATATGTATTGTTTGTTCAAAGAGAATAAGTTTTTATGAACACAGTGAATATATTTCAGTTAATAACAACAGCTGTGTCATCCCAGAAATATATTAATTTCAATAAATATATAATTTTTTTTTCCCTTTAAGTGTGAGTGAACTTTGGCATTAAAATAAGAAATATGTCTATTTTTATATTTATATGTACATATATTGTATATGTTTGTACCTATATCATGCTGATAATTTTTCAGTCTCACGCAATCCATAAAAATACTAAATATAGTGAATTTTATACTGCTGATTAGAATTATTTAGGTCCTATCATTATATTATTTGCATATTTTGCTAAATACTCTATTTTCAAATCCACATAACATTTAGTACTTACTTTTTCGCTTAGAAATGTTCTTTTTATATTGCTGTACAAAATATTTAATTTACTTTACACATTCCAAAAATAAAAATTCATTCAACAAATTTATAAATGACATACATATGTACATACATACATACCATATATAAATTGTTGTTTGTAACATCTAAAACCACTCGAGATAGATTTAGAGTTATGTATGTGTAAAAGATCAGGATGACGAGACGAGTTGAACTGCGATGATTGTCAAGGGAGGTTGGTATTGCAAATGAGCGGAACCAGACCATTGTCACGCACACTAAATTCCCTTAAGCCAAAATCTATAAAGTTCTATAACTCAACCACCAATTAAGATACAAAACTGTAATTTTTACAAGGTAGCAAGTTATGGAGGGACATCTGTGGTTAAAAAGTTTTTAACAAATGGGTATGGCCCCGTTCCCTAATAGGTTTAAAGCATGTATACACATATCTCGCATACAACTAAAGTTAAAACGACCAATCCCCATATGATGTATATGTTGAAAACTACCCTGATATTTTTATGGAGAGGTTTAAACGAACCGGGCTACAACCACGGCTACTTTGTGATTATGATTGCGATTATGATCCATTCATAATTTTGAAGAAAAATTAATATAAAACTCTTTCGATACTTTTTTTAACTTCCCGCTAAGAAAATTGAAAATTTTCGAAAAATCGGGAAGTTATTGGTTTCACCCCATTTTGCAAAAATCGAGTTCTCAACATATCTCGACGTTCTGAGGGTCGAGGAAGCTTCCCCGAACATTTCTACGATGATGTCCGTATTGGTGTGTATATGGGGTGTGTGTGTGTGTGTGGATGTATGTAAACCTCTTTTAACTTTTAACCGGCTCAACCGATTTTAATAAACTAAACGGCATTCCAAATGGTTTCATTGCACTTGAATTTCGTGCAAATTTGAACAAAATCGGACCAGTTTCTCATTTTCCGCTGAATCGGAAGGGCTGTACAGCCTTCTTGGACCTTCTAGACGAACGTCACCTGGGCGTTGAAATCATGCAAACCCTTCAAGTCCCCGGGGCCTAATGACATTATGCCGGCGCAACTACAACGTACGGTTAAGGTGTCATGCCGCTGGCTGGTCCCCATCTACGCGAACTGTGTTGGGCCATGTCCCGAAGACCTGGAGATAGGTTAAGGTTGCGCTTATTCCGAAGACCGGTAAAAGCTCTCACGTCGGTGCAAAAGATTTCAGATGGTTGGTTCTGTACATTAAGAGCAGAATACCGAGGGGTAAACTGTTACGGGCATCAAGCCTATATCAGGTCGGTCAACACTGCTTTGCATGATGTAGTGTCATGGCTGGAGATAGCTCTTATGCACAAGGAATTCGCTGTGGGCACCTTTCTCGACATCAAGGGGCCTTCAATAACGTGCGGCCAGAGGCAGTGGTTAAAGCCCTCGAAAAGCTTGAGGTGGAATCGAACCTCAAGCGGAGTGGGGTAGTGCCAAATCAATCAGAAAGGTTTATAGGGAAACCCCGCTGGGAGGGGTACTCTCCCCACTGCTCCGGATCTTGTTGGTATACGACCTTCTGATAGAACTCGAGTAATGAAGCTGTCGGGCGATAGCCCATGTGATCATGTTGCTCTTATGGTTAAGGGAAATTTCCTAAATA